AAAGCGATTACGTTTTACACAAATGAAAATCGGAGTATAGTGAGGAGGTACAGGATTTTAGTGGGCTCACACCTAGCGAAACAGATTATATAGGCAGGCACTAGTGTATGAACATCTGTGTACTATTTCATAAACGGATGTCAGTGAACACCCACACTACGAAAACTCCTCTATTTATATGGTCCAACTCTTGCAGCCTAGATGTAATTATGCTTAGCTTAATGTATATAAAATTGCTGCAGGTTAAGATGTTTCATACGTAATTTATTGCTTTAAAATTATCATTATTCGTTTTACTATTATATGAAGCAAAGATCTCGTAAATCTAATATTTTTATTTAAGGTTTATCTAATTAAATAAATCTTATGGGGTAATTTAATTGTTAGATTTAAAAGAAAAGTAAAAAGTAGCTAAATTATTGAAGTAAGTCAACTTGAAGTGAACTACAAAGAGAGAAGTTAGAAGTACTATTATTCACTTTTAATTGGTAAATATTTATATTTGTCTGTTGGTTTACGTCGATTATCTATGTAACTCATTGATCTACTTAAAAGTGAACATTCCAATGAGAAGATTCTTAGAGTTTCTTGCATTTTATTTGAAAAAAAAACCAACTCATTTGAATATCGTAACAAAAAAGAAAGATTTTAGATTGGAAAGATTTTTTTTTTTACTTATGATTGAGAATCATAAATAACAATGGGTTTTAAGTCATCTTTAACATGGGAAAAAGTGATTCAAAATCAGATGGTTATCTGTTAATATTGAAAAACCATTAATAATAGTTCCAATCTTTAGACTGATCTAAAATTTCAAGCACACATTCGGAATACGTTTTATCAATTGTATTCTTGGTTTTCTATCTGCTTCAGAATCCTGCCTCCAGTCAATAGTTAATGACTTAATTTAAGAAAGTATAGAAACCCAAGACTAAATTTAAAATTCAGTTTTAACTTCAAAATCTTCTATTCCTTTGATGTTCTAATTTCCGCTTATAATTTAATTCCATTTTGGGAATTATCAACCTCATCGAAGATTTTGGTGTCTTAAATTGATCTAAAAATCTTATTTTGGTCATCGATGTCATCATAAATTTTTATAAAATTGTTTTTATGCCATTGATACATTTTTGAGATTCAAAATAAATTTTATAAGATCCATTTTTAATCTCAACTTTGTTAAAGCCGACAAAACAACAAAATTCAAATCGAAAGTACTTAGATTATATGTATAATGATATATTTGTAGTTCGAATTTAAACTTCAAAGTTGTAATTGAAGACTTTGAAGTTAAAAAAATATTTTAAATTCTGTCTCACGGGAAAGAACAAAACAAATTTCGAATGTTTATAGTATTTATTCTACAATGATTTAAATTATTTTTAAATAACACTTGGCAACCGAAATTCACTTTATAGAAAGTTGTAAACCTTTTAACCTTTTTGTTTATAAATTATACGAAATCATTGAGTGCCATTGGGTTTATTGTTTAACTTCATGTTAAGCTCATCTTTATCAGTATATTTATTGCTGCTATACTAAATTGCCAAATTCACTGAAAAAAGAAGATTTGATTTTTTTTCAATTATCATTTTTCATCGGAAAAGTATTTAAAAAAAAATAAAAATTCAAATGCTTTTGATTGATTACTCGTTTCCCATTTTTTATCACGTAAATTTTTAGGATAACTTTAGGCAAAATCTAAAATTAGAAGTTCACTCAAATAACAGCGATTCGAGAGCCATACTTAATCAATAGGCTCTGGTAATGTTACAAAAAAATGAGCTCAAAGGTTGTTTGCGGTCTAGATATTTTTAACTACGGTTTAACCCTTTTAATTTTTCTCTTTTTTTCTTTCATGTAATATGTACTACTCCTTTTTAATTCAAAGTATTATAAAAATAAAATGAAAATTTTAGCTGCAATATTTGATTTAAAACTTAAAAAAGTTGAAATAACTCAAGACCAAAGTTCAATAAGTGTAAAAATTGTGTTCAATGAATAAAATAATATGAAAACCACTTACGCCGTTTATCGAATGTCTCTGACGAATCATCATTATCTATAGAGTAGTAAGAAGAAGGAAGGAGCAAGTAGAGACGTGTAACAAAGGAACGTAATGGATGGTAGTAAATTGCCGAAGCGAAAGATAAAAAAGTTGAACGAAAATCTGCTGACCTCTGTAACTGCAATTCCTATAACATGATTTTATCTCTTATTTCTAACTTCATATATTACTTTTACTGTCCTGCATATCTCTTTAACAATTTTGATTTTGCTTGCGTAGAAAATTTTTCATATGTTTATAGAAAGGTAAGTACAAACGGAAAATAGTATCACGAATTTGATATCAAATTATTGAAATGTGATATGAATTGGAAATTTACTTTTGGAATATTATACTATACTTAATAAAATATTTCTCAATAAAAGGAATCAAAATTTTTTTCTCCCCCCCCTAAATAACTAGTACATTTCTGTTTCGAAAGTTGAACTTCAACAAGATTTATTTTCTAATTTTATTCCACTCAGTGCATACAATAAATAATGTATCTGAAGAACTTTCTATTTTGCCACAAACTTTGCGGTATTTTAGTTTCCCAGTTCAGTATCTATTTTTAATGAAATATTACTTTACGATAAATCGATAAGGATTTAAATCAATGGTTCAAGACATTTCACTTAAAAGTAAATAATATACTGTAAAAAAGTACCATTTATTTTTTCTCTCATTTTTTTATCTCAATGACGCTTTATTACTATAAAAAAAATATTTTTACAGTAATAGTGAAATGTTTCACTATATTTAAAGCATTTTTTATAATTATAAAAACTATCCTTTTCATTTAGGTTGTCGTTTTCTCACTTTTATGCTTTTATTTAGTTCGTTACTTTACTTGGAAAGCATTCTTTCTCGTTACATTGTTCTACTCGACACTTAGTTTCGATTTATTCTTTCTGATTGCCATTCAACTTTTCGAGAAGCGAATTCAAAGAAATTTCACAATAAATGTGAAAAGTTTAATGGTTCGCACTGTTACACTTCTGTTACTGTTAGGATAACAATACTAAACAAGAAAGCTTTTAGATCTTCAGCTGCTTTAAAAAAAAGGCATAAGAAACAAAAATGAATTATTCTTTTTAAAGGTATTTAAATAATGACATATTTAAATAAAACTACAAAATATGCTGGTAATAAATTTTAGTTATTGCAGATTGTATTATGTATACTCAGTTTATAAAATCTACACACAGAATTTACCGATATATTTTCAATGTTCTATTTCCTCTTTACATAGTAAATTTAAATACTTGGTTAAATGGCTTATGATGGATTATCTTCGAAAAACGTTTCATTATTTACATATTTCATTCATGATCTGATGATATTGAATATTAAAGACAAATTATTCAACTGGAAATTATTAATAAGGGATTTATCAAAATATTTAAATCAGGTGCTATAAAATAATGTAAAAAAATTTTTATGAATATAAATAACAGTGTGTTTTGTTGCTTCTCTTACTCAGCAGAATTTAGTTTGGTTAGATTAAACTGCTAGTTAGTTAAAACTCTGCTAACTTTGCTAAAATGTAAATAAATATCATAAAAAAAAAATAATTAACAGTGAATTTTTCTACAATCTTTCTTTTTTTATTTATAAATATTTATTGATTACTAGAAAATCCTCTTATCTTTAATTTTTAATCTCTATAAAAATCCAATAATTGCACACAGCTAATTATCAAGCTCTTCTTTCATGCTCAAGTGGATTAAATATAACTAATAGTTGGCGTGAAAGTATCAACTTGAACTTTTTTCCATTTTTATCATACCAATAATTTCCACTAATGTAGATCATATTGTTATCGCAAGTATTGTAAAAAAAAAATAATATATACCACTTGATAAACGATCTATTCGTTGCAATATTTTATCCATTCCAGTGGAGAATTTTTTCATTTCGAGCAATACTTTTCTGTCCGATGAAAGAATAAGTGTTGCATATATATGAAAGATAAAGAATGTTAACCACAAATTGGACTCCTTCATTTAATATATCCAAAGTTTTAGACTCCAATCGTATGGTCCGAGTTCGATGAAACTAAATCGGACCATAAGAGTGGTAATTGGGAAAGTTTACCATTCCGAACAATTAGTTGAAGATAACCTATTATAGTATGGTGGTGGACATAAAGCGTCGGAAATGACTAGCAATAAATTTAATAATTTGAAACGCATTAAATTCTGATAGTATGATTTCTATTAATTGAATTCCCAAAAAAGACAAATTTTTTTTTATTTTAAAATAATAATTTGCATTCATCTAGCACTTCTTTACTTTTACTTAAAAATTATATTGAAAGTTACATTAGTAGGTAACTTTCTAAATCTTTTCAACTTTATCGTTTTTCTGCTACGTATTCCCAACAGAATTTTCTGTACTTACTGCTAGTACCTGGCGTTAATTAACGTGCAATTAAACACGTCTCTTTGGGACCCGAAAGATGCACGACTGGAATTTCTATAAAAACTCCTCTCTTGGACTCAAACCTTCAATTTATTTTCAAAGACTAAATCAAATATTGGCTTATCTTTTACTTCGTTTGTAACGAAATTCCATTTTTCTCGTCATATTAGATAATATTTATTTTATGTAATTATCTTCCTATATAATCCATGTAATACCAGGGAGCAACTATATCTATTGAGTGGTTTTTTGGATTAAAATCTGGATTGGATTCAATATCTGGCTACGTGAGAGTATTACCCCATCGAAGTTTACAGTACAAGCACACTCATAACGACATAAAAAAGTTAAATCTGATGCTCCAAAAGTAAAATATGATATCGAAAATTTTTAATCTCATATTTTTATATTGATATACGTCAGGAAAAAAACTTTTATACACTCTGTTAACTCATTAATTGGTTCAAACTAATTTGAAAGTTCAATTTTCGATCAATCTATTAATTAATTATTATGTTTTATGTTTCAGGATGATACGAAAATCATGAAAGTTGGAGATAAAAAGCGATGGATACATGATCCAAACAGTGAGTAATGTTAAACGTATTTTGATTAGTAATATTTTAGTTTTGATCATTAATCAAAACTCCAATGTCAATCGAGTTATTTAACGATGAGTTTTGTAATTTAATATTTTGATGAATTTTATTGGACTTTTGATTAACATATTAAACCTTTTATATACATAAACATAAAAATAGAGTTCAGCAATTCCAAGAGAATGTTTTAGAATTTTTTGAAAACGATTATGCTTTATCTCAGCTTCTTTGATGAAAAGGAATGCGAAGAAAAAGTTTGAAAATCTTTAAATTTTTTTGCAAAAAATGGAAACAATGTTTGAAAAGAAACCTTCTGGAATCAGAGACTACACATGAATTTTTTTTCTAAAAAATAGTTTGTAAAAAAAAGTGTGACAAAAACTAAGACAGAATGAAATATTAAAAGTTTGAGGACACTTAAGTTTTAAATTTAATATCATTAATAATTTCATAATTTTCACTAAAATGAATAAAACTTTATCATTTTCTCTATAAAAAGTGACGACGTTGCTGTAAATGCTATTTTTCTCATTAACCCTTATTCAAACGTGAGGAATAAAAATAAAGTCATATGAAATGGATGCAATAAACAAACATAAAAAGGCCCAAGTCAGATCACGTATTTAATACGGTTTGTTGGAAGTGTGTGATCTATATTTCGTCTTTATATGTCTTTATCACGAATCATGGAGAATTCGTACAGCCGTTGGCCTTTTTCTAGATACGAAATGAATTTTTTATTAGTGTTTTCGAGGTGTATAAAATGCAGACACGATGCTGCATAAATTCAATCTTTTATTAATATTCAGGTATTGAGTATTTTTTAATGAAATAGATAAAATTAAAATACTTTATGGAAATATTCCTATCGAATTTTTTAGTCACCGAATGGCGAAAAATAATAAATGCAAGTCAGATCTTAGTAAGTCTTATAGCTGACTAGAATGCTTAATAGTAGTATAGACTGCAGTTTTGTCCTCAATCGCATTTAGAAATCTCGTTTTCTAGAATTTCCCTCGAGTGTGGAGGGTGTCGAATGCAACATATACATGCTTGTATGAATATGTATATACATGTAGTCGATGTTAAGACAGAGAAATCTTTCATGAGCATGTTGGGATCCTTTATGGCTCCAACACTATTCAATAGTTGTCGACTCATCTCACCCTACCATATTTGTGATCCCAATTGATTTGTCTCAAGCTTCTCTGGTCTTTCGTTCCCTTTCCAAGATTGTGGATAGAGCTATTATCTTGGGTCCATCACCATCCAGACATTCAGCTCAGCTTCATGCATTTCCTAGAGAGTATATACCCGTTTACTGCGTCTCTTCTACGTATGAACATCATTCTCATGTCATTTGCATGGCAAAATGTACGATCTAGGGATTCTCATTAGCACGTTGAGGATTATACTCAACGATTCTGTACTAGACGTTTGATCCTTACTATTATCCTGTCAAATTATCTTGATTATTCTACTGCATCACTACCAATATAATTTATACACCTACGTAGTTTAGCTGCTTTGAAAGCATTATTGAAGCTTAATTGGTTATGAAAATAATTACATTATCTTTGGATAAAAAATTTAAACTTCTTAGTTGGGATAAATATCGTTGATGAAGAGAATATTTATTATGCAGAATATTATTAGATACAGGCCACCAAAGTCTACTCTGTAAAAATAATCTTTTTAAAAGACGATGCTTTTTATTGATCCATTTAATATTGGAAAGTTATTTAAGAGGAAGTTAATGGAATGCTATCAATTTTTAAGAGACTATTTTTTTATATAAAATTTATTTTAAAAATAGTTTTAGAAAAAAAATAAAATCCGATTGTTCAAATTTTTTAAAAATGTTTTAAAAATTAATAGAAATCATTGAAAAAATTATTTGATTTAGTTCAGTGCTTCAAGGTATTTCCAATAGAAAAATATTATTGTTTCATTGGAAGTAACATTAAAAAATGAAAAAGCAATGATTAATTGAAATCCAAATATAACGGCAATTATTTATAGAGTGAAATTATTGGATATTATTCTTGAAATCCTTTTTTTCATGCATTATTACTGGATTATTTTGGTATGCAAGGTTTTTCCTGAGGAATGTACAAGATTAATTCAAAAAAATTTCCCCTCAGAAATCTGAATTTGAAAATAAGCTATCACATTCCATTTTTGAAGCATCTATTCAATATCATTCAATATTCTCTGGATTTCATTCAATATTCCTACGAATAACCAAAGTTTTACGTCAAAAATGACCTATTTTATTCATCTTTATACTTTTGATATCCTCTAAAAATTTATTGTCTATGTTATTTCAGTTGATACAATCATTTTGTCGTTTTTTCTTATCATTGGAAATTGACTTGTTGAAATTCATTGAAGAAATATTAAATTATATCAATTACTAACTCGAATCGAAATTCCATAAAATAACTAGCCGTCTTTTATCTATCCTTTCAACTTTGACCTGTTTACACAACTTATCGACTTATCTCGTCCGGTTCGAGTTGATCTGATCCTTTTTTCGGTTTGAGTCGAACCGGGTTTCAGTCTGATCTCGTCCTTGTGGTTCGATTAGTCCTAATTTCAATTTGCTGAATTTGTACAGATGTGTTGAGTTACATTTGAGACGGAAAGTTGCAAATAAAATAGACTTAGAAAAACAAAAAGTTTGTTATACTAATTCCTAAGTATTTTCGATATAGCTCTATTTTTTATCATAAATGCGCCGTAAAAATGAAAAAAAAAAAAATTCCTATATCATAATTTTTCGATTTTTTATAGCTAAAAATAGGGTGGACCCCACTTCCGAATAATTACCGTATTTTCTTTTTTACAAAACATTTAAAATACATTCGGTAATTTTATAATTTCACGGTCTCCTCGTTCTTTGGCTCTAGAAAATTGAAAAATTTTGAGAATATTTTTATTCACATTATTTCGATAATTACTTAATCAGAAAGGCACAAACGATGATATATAAGAAATCGTCAATTTTAAGAAAAGTTGTTATTATTTTAAATTGTAAAAATATGGAAAATCAACATTTTTGCATAAAATTTTTTTTTAATTTGTTTGTTTTTGTGTGTAGATTATGAAAAAAAATATAACAACTCCATACGATAACTGGTAAAAAAGTTATCAACAGTTATACGTGAATGAGTGCATTTACATAAACATTTAAAGCCCTGAAACCAATATAAATTTTCATTTTTTTCCATTTACATAATTTTTTTCATAAATTCGCCGTAAAAACGAAGATTTTAGAAAAAAAATCACTCCAAAATGTTGATTGTTCAATTTTCTAGAGCCAAATAACGAAGGGACCGCGATAGTATAAAATTACCATACATTCTTATAATAAGAATTTTTTTTTTTGATAAAATTAATTTTTTTTGTTCAGTAATACTATTAAAAATTATTAACTCAATTTTATAGAGATCAATATGACAATATCGTTGCCCAGTCAAAGTTGAAATTCGATTTTAGCCAGCACGAAACTATAAAATGAAATCGAAAAGAATTTTATTCCAAAAATAATGAGAATGAAAAGTAACCTTATTTTTCAACTCCCTGAGTAAATTGATATGCAAGGTGTCGAAACGTGTCTGCAAGATAGTTGATATTCTAATCCAATCACATTGTATATACTTAGAAAATTTCATTCTTCTTTTCGCGTGAATAAAAAGTAACGTTTCTTACATTTATCTATAAAGCTGATGATAAATCGAATGAAAATTTTTTCGACATTAATATATTATATGAAGAAACTATTTTGATAGATGATTACTCAGTAATGCTGGTGTGCTGAAATATTAATAAAAAAGCCGAGCATGATAGTGAAAGAAGGGTGAAAGGTCCAGGTAAAACTATATGACCTTTGACTGGTCATACCAACCGAGTAATATCTTCTCAAGTGGTCTGAGTACATCATCCAGTGAAGCGTAGTCTCATATTGATCTTTGCATGTGTAAAATTTTTTTCACAAATATTTTTCAGTGATATAAATTATCAGGTAATTTCATATCATTTATTTTGAATACTTTATTAACAAATATCAAACATTTTGTTAAATAGTAATTTTTAAGTCATATTCAAATATTTATTTTCATTCAGAATTCATTTTATTTTCAATTTAAAATAATAAGATATAAGTACTGCAATGAAATAAATATTTGTGGATAATATTTATAAATATATTGAAAGACATAAATGTAAATAATATCAGTTTTCCAATTTCAAAGAGCTTAAAAATTATTTTTTCTCATATCCCCGCCCAAAGTTAACATTTGCTCCCCGTTTTCAGGTTCTAAAGCGACGTATTCTATCCCGCATAAAAAGACAAAAAAAAAATCTGTGCACATGCCCAGACGGGTGTTGTCTTTCACTGTGAGAAAACGTCACTTTTCCAACCTCAAAATAGACAAAAAACTTTAAGTTTGGACGATAGTATGATAAAAAATAGTATGTTTGCCATGGGAGTAAAGTGAGATATCCTTACCTAGGTATTTGCCACCCTCGCTTTCGGCTCGGAATGCAATTTTACACCCCAGTCAGAATATTATACTTTGCTCCCTTAGTTAATAATGTACTATTTTAATATTATGTACCTTTCATTATCCACAGCGAATATACGATGTACATAAATAGAACATTTTTAGATTTAAATTGCATAACAAATATGACAGGATTGATAACGTCATTTTTATTGAGTAATCAATCTCTCTTATAATCATATTTTTTATTCATTTATTCCATCCAAAGTTTTATTTTACATAGACTTTTATTTTGAAAATATTAAAATAGTTTATTGACTCGCAATATTTTTCATAGAAAAAAGACTCTGGTGTAAACTTTTAAAACGCTCGAAAAAAAACTTTTATAAATTCCTATTTATGGTTAATATTTACTTGGAAAAGTGTGTACATCACTCTTCATTTAAGTGTCATCAATATTCTCAAAGCTATACTATTCTGAAGGATCATCAACACTACCTTTTAGAAGTTAGCTATCTCCTAAATCTTATCTTTTTATCTAGTCCAAATCCATATTATTTTTTGCATTGAAAAACGGAGTAGAAATTTTATTACGTTCACGCTGACAAGTTTGGTAGTTTGAAGTCTCATTGGCGTCCCTAAAATGGTGGAGGGAATATCCTCCCCTATTACCATGGTAACCGCCACATTCAATGCGCTTGTTTCCTCCTCACCCTGTTCGATTCTCTAAGCTATCAGTCGTAGGTCTTAACCTTTGATACACTTTAATATTTCTTGCATACATTCACTGAAAATATATTCATTGAATCCTCGAATAAGTTGCATTCGTCAAACTTTTTTATTCTAAAAAAAACACAAACTCTGTTATAACAATGGAAAACTTACTTCTCTGTAGTACTAAGTAGAAAATAAATCCTCCTTTGAGTTTTTATTTGCACATATTGATAGCACTCTTTATATTTATAGATGTATTTTTTTTATCAATGAAAATCAATAGATATTAAATATTAAGTAATGAAAGAATAAACTAAATTGACATATTTTTTTGAAAGTCATGAATAAAAAAAAACTACTCAATCAATTTGGCTAGAATTTTTTCATGACGTTCCATTAATTATTGTTCGTCGGAACCAGAATCATATTGATGTCTCAACAATCGTATATTTTCAAAGGAGAATGAATATCGAACAATAGGAAATAAAATGTCTATTGTTATTTTCAAAGCTTGGGTATTATTTCAATCTCTAATTAGACTATGATATTCTAGTATTTTTTTGTATGTTTTGTTTCTTTTATTTAAAAATGAAAAAATTATCAATAATATCTGTAGCTGTCATTTTTTTTTATTTAAAGTGACCTTTAAAATGCGTGAAAACACATTTAAACGTGCAATAAATTAAGTTAGGAGAATATCTGTTACAGAGTTGAGGGTACATAGATACATGTAGACCATGAAGATTAATCCATGTTGGTTTAGATGAAAATGAAAACACTAATTTAATTTTCTCTAATTACACTAACGTGCAATTTTACGAGTGCAGAAAGTATTTCTTACGTTTATGGTTTTCAAAGAGAATTAAAATACTAGAGGGTAAAAAAAGTACGCTTTTGAGGCAGTTAATCACAAATTAATGCGTTATGCTATAGTTTTACAACGTAGTCGGTAATACGGGACATAAAAGTATAAAATGAAATTAATTAAATGAGTATAGCTGTAAGAGAATCCTATAAAAAAATTTAAAGAGTAAATAGAAAAAAGTAGATCAACCACCATATCAAAACTTTTCTCTATTTTCAATGGTACTAGAGAATTCTATTGATTCTATTCATTATCACTTGAAAGTTTCGATTGAAATGACATGTGCATAAACGTAAATTCTTGAAAGTGTCTATTTGAAAACTACGAGAGTTCCCTCCGGTTTTCACGATAAAATTTGTTCTAGTAAGTTTTTCCGTCTGTCTACTCCAAGATCCACGTCTCGAACTTTACACGGCCAACCATTCGATTTCCTTCCCTTTCTGTAAATCCAGTAATTCGCCCTTGTTCCATTCTTTCCGTCTTTCTAACTTTTTCTTCTATTCCACTACCCCTGCTAAGATTATTTTAACGCAGAATTTGTCTGATGTTGTCGATACCACAGCTTTCTTTCAAAAACCTTTTTACTAACTTTCATGTTTTGAGAACTACACGTATGGGGTGAAATGGTAAAAACAAATCCACCCCGTTTCGTTTCTGCTTGTCAAAAGATCCTTGTAATCGACATTTAACCATTTGAGTTTAACAGAAATCAAAACTATCGTCTGCAGTCAGTTGTGATAGTCGAATTTTGTTTTATAAATGTGAAATGATTGATTAAAAAAAATTTTTATGGAAAAAACAAATTATCTTCACTCATGAGTTCGTTATTTTTCTGTAAAACTAACAAAGTTTCGCTTAAAAAGATTGGAAAACATGAGGGAATTTCGATAGAAGCTCAGGGAAAAGTCTTTATGGATCATAGTCATTGTGTCGGTACAAAACCAGGTCATACTACTTGTTTTAAAAAATTCTTAAAAAATGAACAAATATTTAAGCAACAACCAGAAAAGTTTTTTAGCTTTTTTTTATCTTCAGTATTTTTCCTTAATAATATTAATTGATTTTTCATACATTATTTTTTGTATTGATAAATGTATTCACTGGAAATTTTATTCTACAACAGAAATAGTGACCTTTTGTTATGAGAATAGAACGATACCTTTTCGTTCCTAATAAATTATTTTATTAGTCTAAAACCATTCGAATGTACACTAGAGCTACAATTTTAATTTTTCAGTCATCCAGACACCCAAATGGTCTGAGGAAATACCTTTCAAGAAGATAATACTAAATAATTAAAATATAGATATAAAATAACAGAAAATTCTATGTTTATTTTGATCCATTAAATTTTCTTATTTTTATGATTATACCTTTTCATTGCACAATAGTCTGTACGTAATATAATTTTCATAGACCAATCTTAATTAATTTGTACATTGAATTTAATCTACATAAAACTTAATTACATAAATGTTCTTACAGACATTGCCACTGTGAAGTGTTTTTAACATATCCACAGCAAATATGCTACATTTACGTAATACTCATGTTGACTATTAGCTAAGGTCAATTGTGTCTTGCAGATAATGTTCTAAAACACATCTAAAAAACAATTTAGATTCTGACATTTATTTTTAGTTCAATACACTTGATATTGTTATTTATTTCAATTAAATCGATAATTAAGTTGTGCTACTATGCTTCTAACGGTATTGACAAGTTTATTAAATTCAAATTGTCAATTGCTGTAAAGTAAAATCAATAAAACAATAAATAAAACGAAAAAAATAATTTACAAAATTGCAATTCATCTTTTGAATGATCATTTTTCAATTTGCAATTATAATCACAAAATTTTCTTTTCACAGGTGAACTTTGTCGTCCTTTGAATTGCAAGAAGAAAGAGCTGTGTCTTTTGGAGGATACCTTCACTGCAGTTTGTGTCTCAAAGAAAGAACTGCATAAATCTGGGTAACGAATATTTAATTAATACGACAAGATAAGATCTTCAATAGTAAATTGAACATTATCAGTAAGTACTAATAAACTACGGATTAACTAGTGGTTTTATTTTCAATAGATATCTGTAAAGAAATATAATATCAGAGATGAATTTATTGAGAAGGTATTAAGCTAGCTAATTGGTATACTAATAATGTTCAATGTAAACCACCAAATATCCACAGCGAGTTTGCTCAACTACCGTTACATTTATTCGCAACGATAAATGACCATATTAGTCTCAAATGCCGTAACGAAGCGCCAAAATTCTCATCTACCTGCCCTACCTAGCAGAATACCCTATATGAAGCCTCTAGAGTACATATTCAGATTAATTTTCTCATTTCTACCCATTTTAAATGAAGTATTAACCATTTAATTAATTTTTATTGACATATAATTGCTAATTTATTCATTAATTTCATCTACAGAGATATTGTCATTCCCAAATCACGTGCTGTTCAACAAAGAAGACTGCGAAAGGATGCTTCAACTGATAGTGATGATGATGATGACGATGATGATGCGTTCTTTGATTCTGAAGATGATGATGAAGACCAGGATGAAGTCAAGTGAGAATTTCAATATTTTAATTTGATATTCCTAACGGAGTTATTGCATTGAGAAACATTTCTTCATAATAAAATACATATAATTTATTTCTACGTCTTGTTGAGACGTGAATAGCAAAATAATTCCAACTTTTCAGTTAAAAATAAATATAAATTTAAATAAAAATGACAAGACATATTGTTGACACTTTTCTGATAATAAATTAGACTTCAGTACATTTATTTATGTATATTACCAATAAATTAGTTTGATGGATATTAATATTAATTAAAATGATAATTTCATGTGAATATGATGATTTTATTTGTCGAAATATCTCTCAAGTAGTCTCATGGTGAATAATTTCATCTCTAAATAATTTCTATCACTCATAAGATGTCCACTATTGGTATTAAAACTTTATCGATTTTAGTAAATTCAACTTTTTAATTTCATCATGTTATTTATACACATAATTAATATTCTGAAGATGATTGGTAGCGCTTGAATCGTCAAATAAATTCATACCAATAATATGAAGCATCCACTTCTACATATCCATGTTATAAATGACAAGTTGATTAATTATTTACCAAGAGGATTAATTTATTTTTGAGCATTGGTCAAATTTTATTAAATTATATCTGAAGATAGCATTGCTTTAACTGGATATATATTGAACCTGCTCATTTATAATAGTAGATTGGTAAATGGAAATGCATTCTCTGTATTCCATTAATTTTGTAATTTAAAATACCACCCAAGTCAAGTATATAATGTAAAAGTAGTATATAGCAATCTTTATGTTTCTCTATTCAATCTTAAGTAGGTACAAGTATCATTATAAAAAAATTACAAGAATTTAAAATAGCATTCTCTGCACGTTGTCTTGTTTTTTGGAAGAAAAATAGCATGAGGTTGACCTAAAACTGTCACAACCGTAGGCAACATGTGAAACACAAGTGTTACATCTAGCTATTGATCCAAGTGCATGTTTCTTTGTGCTTTGTCTTTGACTTTTTTACAAGTTCAACATAATGCGTTGAAACAAAGAAAGTTTGCTGAAGTTGAGAATAATTTTTTTGCAAATGACCCAGAGAGAGAAAGAGAGGGAGGGAGGGAGGAAGACAATTGTCTTCACACTTGACATACTGTTAAAAGAATACTCATCATTAAAATGATTCCTTGGAGGGTTGAAAATAATGTAAAATAAACTGCAAATCTATGTAAATATGTGTGTTTAGAGAAACTTAAATGTAAAGAAAGTCGACATGATCAGAATTCCAAGCGTGAAATTGTCCAACATCCTGTCTAGTCTCGTTATCGTCAATCGACGTACAGTTGAGGCGACTCATGTTTAATTCAGAGAATTTTGGGCTCGTGCATGCATCGTTTCGAATGCCCCACAGAGTAGTAAAGGACATTTCTACCAACCTCTTTTACCTCAATTCCACATATCCTCACTAAGCCAATTAACTCTTTGAAATTTTTCATTTATTCTTCTAATCCATTATTCAATTATCTAGAAATTCTGTCCATCACAATCTGTCCAGAATAATTTATATGCCCTAAACTATATCACAATTAAATTGTTACGTCTACCTCATCATCTATGTACTATTTAAATTTATATATATATATACATAAACAATCTCAGAATCTTAAAGTGGTCTCTTCTATTCCAGTTTTAATTATACGAGTACGTACACTAGCTTTCTATGTTTGTTTATAATTAAAGTTACCCCAGGGTTCGCGTAAATTAAAACTTATTCACTAAAAAGGCTATCCGTACAATTTAAAAAGCAGCATAATTCTTTATATATACGCATGGGAATTTTTACGGAAATTTTTCAGTTATAAATTGATCTATTTTTATTCTACATTATGAGAAATATACATTTCTAATAATTCTATGAATTTTTATTGCATGAAGAATCAAAAAATGTTGTAATGCAATTTTAACATTCTTCATTGCATATTTTTATATTGAAGAAACGGAATTTCTTTTTTTTATTTACATATTTTATAAATGATACATTTAAATCCTCAAAAAATTATTTTAGAAATATGAAGAAAAATTTTTTTCCAACTCCAGAAATGATGATAAATGTAATTATAAAGATATACCAAATGAATATGAGAAAGCAGTAGAGATATTCGATTTTAGTCCGACAATTTTGAAATAATAAAATGGCAATTAGCTAATGGTTGGTATGGAAAAGTATTCTTTTAATTCCAATAAATGAAAATTTGATATTGAAAATAAAACCTCCAATATCGAAAAATCACTTCACTATATTTTTAATCTAGAAAAACTTTTAATTTAAAGCTCCAAAAAAAAAGAAATCTACTTTTCTTAAATTAGAACAATTTGTCATTTATCTGGTGGCATTCACCTATTAGTCTGCTTACACAATCTGGTGGTAGATAAATATGAGATAACCCGGATGAAGGTCGGAAAAAATTGTTTCGAAATAAATGAAAGTCTGTTGAGAGACAATACGTTAGTTAAGACACTTGATTTACGGAATTAATCCGTATTGGCACGGTCAATATCCTCGGATTCGTTTGGAGGATTTTTTAGAAGCAGATAAACGAACAAAGGAGATGAAGCTATAGTTTGGGGTTTATAAATGTATATAGGTTGAGGGTATGCAGGATAAAAGATAACGATTAGATGCGGTAGCATGTCATAGCGTTATCCATGATGTGGCCACAATTTTCGAGAAAACGAAATGACTCTAAGCAATGGTTAGAAGCACGAGTCAAGTCTTGGTAGACGCAAGCTCACTTGGCAATAAAAGTGGTGACTGGCCTCGTACATTATAAAAGCGAAGGAGTTGCACGATGCCAAGTATACTAGCATATACGACCGAAAGAGAGAAGATTCACCTCCTTATTCTCCCTTACTTCCTACTCTTCCGCCTTCATGAATCCTTTGCTTGTTCTCTTTGTTCTCTCTATTGTCATATAGACTAAGAGAGTTGTTTGTCTAAAATGTAAAGGCACATTTATTATTTATGGCTGCTTTCGTTTATGTGTTTCTTAACTTTTAAAGAATAATAATTGGTTTATAGCATTAGAACTATTACGAGTTCACATTTAGGTGTGGTAGTCAACTTTTATATTATTGCTACAGAATCATATTATTTTTTTAGTGTTTAAGTCTGTTGGTATTTTTATGTTTTGTAATATGCAACTTATCATGGATTCAATAAAAGTTATTCTCTGTTAAAGTTTGTTTTATAATACGTTGTATCGTAAGATGAATAATTCATGATGTTGAAAAGAAGTTGGAAATTAGGCTGAAATATAGAAATTTAAAAAAAATATCCAATAAAACAGAATACTTTGTTTTAATTAATTTTATTAATAAGTTTATTAATTGCTTAAATAATTTTTTTTACCATTTAAAATATTCTCTCTCAATTAAAAGGCTGTAGAATAATTAATAATATTTAATCCTCCATGAATGCTAATTTAAAAATTAATTATAAAGAAATTTAGAAAAATATTTCACAAAAGAAAGCTTGAATTCGTCTGGTATAAAGGCTATAAAAATTTATACTTGGAATTTAGTGACAATTTTTTATCTACTATTTCTCTAACGTGCCACCAAACTTTAATAAAAAAAATAGATACTTTTATTTATTACATGTTGAAAGTCAAAGTATTCGTAACGAGAGAGGAAACGCGATTGAAAAATATCAAGTTTTGTATGAGTGCCGTTGGGGATTACATTTCGCATTCATAGAATTTTATCGGTTGACGTGAATCAAAAGTTTTTCACGTGAATGCGTGGGAGTTCTATTACTAACAATACATACACAATACACAAGCTTTTTACTAGAAAACAAAAATCTATAAACTTTCACACCTCACCTTTTTATTATTCAAATATTGACGCTTTGAATTTAGAAAACTAAACTTCTTATACAAATATTTTATGAATTGGAGTCCAAACCACCATTTATCTTCACCCAATTTTCAACTAAAAACTTGGTTATAAACTTGTACCAATAACGTAAGAAAAATTAATTCCTTTTTTTTTTTTAATCAATTATATTCCAAATAAAAAGTCCTCATCAACTAACTTTATGCGTTTCACGTGTTTTATGATAAAGGAGATTACAACTGCACATCAATTATTATTCATCAACCCTCACCACTCTCCTAAAAATACCCGATTCAATTACCATGCCATCATTAAACATCTAAATGCAACCAGATTTTCATAGCAATAATATTGTAGTCCATTAATTTATAACATAAATCTTTATTTAAAAAATAAAAACATTTATATTATATTAAAAATATTATTATTGAGTACATTAAAACACATTTGTTTATCACAAATATAAATTAGTCTTTATTTGTTATGCCATTTTATTTATTTAGCATTTCTCAAGTTGAAAATTTATTAAACTCATTACAATAACTAAGTAATGACTATGTCAGTAATTAAAATTAATTATTTGTGAAAATTAACTGTTTTTTGTCGGTATCGAGATGTAAAACAAAGAGGTCAATGAATTCAACGTTGAAAGGATTGATATGAACAATAACAAAAAGTTCATTAAAAGCTTTATTAAAATAGGCCAGAATAATTAAATATCATAAAACATGCTAATTATAAAAAGGTAAATAAAAGAATATTTTATAAAATTTCGAGGACCGTATAATACAGTAGAATAGAGGATATCTGAAACCGTCAATAAATAGCAAATAAATAATTTACATAAATAGCTAGTGAAAGAGCTTATTTAATATTCAAAAATTACACATAAACGATTGCCCATATTTACGGGTACATATTTAATTATTGGTGTATTGACCCTATGGATAGTATAACTAGTTTAGCAGTGCGCAGGTTTAATAATATTTTAATGACTAATTAAATGAATGCTCATATATCAGTAAAAAACAAATAATTTTACTGTGAAAGACATTATTTGACTTTATGCTTTAATTAATATTTTCAGTCGCAATTAATTATTTTCCACAGACTTTTTAAATATTTAAAACATCATTATAATTTTCATTCAACATGAATTCAATTAATTCATATTTTATATTTATTGTTTGCAAAGTAATTTAGTAAATTCAAATGTTTGTAAAGAACAATCTTAAAAACTAAAAACAGCTGCTATTACCTTTGAAACATCAAAAAAAAGTTTTAAAAGTATGTTGAAACAAAATAACAAAGAAAATGTTCTATATGATGTTCTTTGACTTTGGATTGTGATATGGAGAGTAAAACTTGGTAGTAACTTACAGAGCATACGCTTATGCTCATCTTGATTCTCATCACTTGAAGATGCTTTCGTTTGTGTGATTCTACTTCTTAAGATCTATTTTACTTGTTTAAATAATTCTGTGTGAAGAATTAGTGAGGCATTCTGCTCAGCATTTACAAATAACGTTTATTTTGGAATTATACTATAGAAAAAAGCTTTATCTATGTTACAATTTTTTCTCAGTCTACAATAAAGTGCTTTCTATTGTGATAAAAAGAATGAAAAAATATTTGTAAATGCTTGTGAATGCATTTACTATTAACGACCTGATGACGTTTTATTCCGTTCAGTTAAAAAAAAAATAATAACAATTTAATAAGAAATTTCATGAGAAAATCGAAAATAAATCCATAAATAATAGGTGGAGAGACTGAGAATTATTCGAACTGTTCAAAATGTAATTTTATGGCTAGTATTTCATGAGACTCTGAGCGATGTATATGCATTAGAGAAGATGGAATACTGTGAATTATGAATTTTCACAATGAATTGATGATGATTGAAAATTTCCATTCTACAGCTTTTATTAATCTATCAATAGTTTATATTTTATTGAATCATTTAGAAATAACAGGAAATAATTATTTAGTTGAAATCAGAATCTTTATTCAAGTTTAAATTAAAAAGTAATTGAGGTAACATCAAATTCAGGAATCAATAATTTCCATAATCATTGTATTGAAAAAGATAATTTCGTTTTCCGTTAAATTTGACAATTTCAATCGATTGTTTACAGGAAACACATCGGATATTAATTTCAAGTCTTGCAATAGAACTATCTGTTATTGGAATTACTTTGTGTCACGAATAAGAGGAAAAAAAATTCTATGGTAGTATAAACAAATAAATTGAAACCGTATTTTGCTATAGATTCATGTTGATTTCTGCATCAAACGATTGTTTTCAGCATCAAAGTAGAAAACATTCTCTAAATGATCCCCCATTGAACAGATTCAGTATCGAAGTAATGTAAAATACTTGTTATGTTGAATCTTTTGAAATGTTTATTATGTACATGAAAATAGCTTCTAGTCAACGAATTCCCTCTCTTTTTAATGCATTTTTTTTTACAAAAAAATACAAGTTTCCAAGACTTTTTATTACCAAGAGACATGGTCTAAATATCTTATTTGTTTCTACGATTATTGCATTAACCATCATCAAATTAGAGTTGGTCTAATTGGAGTAAATAGACTACTACAATGAACAGCTGATCTTATTGAAACGTTATATTTTTTTCAGTCTGGCTTGAATATTTTTAAAAAAGAGTTTTACAAATAGATTGGAGTAAACAATGATGTATAAAAAACATTTTAAATAAGCGATGTCATAATTCACATGCAGAATATGAGAAATGAGCATTGCGAAAATAAAGGACGAACAAAAAGCTTCTGAAATATTTTTAGGGCAGCGTCGTTTTCAAGATGCGTTCTTTATGTTCATTTTCTGGAGAGAATTTTTTGAATCCATTGTATAGTACATTTTCCTTGATGAAAAAGAGAATTTATTTCTCATTTAGCATAGCAGGATAGACCATAGACCTGCTTTACCTGGTCGTAGTATCTACTGTTAAAAAAAGTTTTATCATTTTAAAATCAACCATAATATTACATTAATTATTTTTAAACATAAGAACAGTAATTATTGTTTGAAACATTTAATGTTCACAAATGATGCAGATCATAAGCTGTAAGAATATAATATTTTTTTGTGGTAGAAATGGCAATATATTAAACATAATTTGTTTTGGAACTTCCGGATTGATGTTCATAACTTACTTAAGCTCCATGTGTGTCAGTCGTATCAATAAATCTTTAGTTATCACTAGATCATTTGGTGATTAATACATTAATCAATTTCCAGGTGCCAGTGGTGTCCGGTCGTAAAGCCTAACTTCCTGTGTGGTTCTGACAATCGTACCTACAGTTCTCCATGCCGTCTCGAGTACCATAACTGCATTCATCACACTTCAGTTCATATCGCGTGCAAAGGATTTTGTCCGTGTAAAGGTAACTTATGTGCTTGTATAATAGACATCCCTACATCTTGTTTTTCATCAGTGTAGTAATCAGTGAAGTGAAATTAATCCATCACTAAACTTCCTTTTCCTCTCGTTCTCTGTTGCGTAGATAAAAATTCAATAAAAAGATCACGTAACATATTTAATTGAACATAACGCAGTTGGCTGATTCTGAAATATGTACGAATAACGACCATATATTGAAAAAATGCACACATGGCGCCATGTGTATACATATATTTTAGATAACACATTTGTGAAATAATCGTTCTTAAAATATATATCAGGGTTTTATTGAAAAAATTTAACTTTTCGAATATCTACGTACAAACGTACGTTACCCGTTACCCTCCAGTTCCACCACCCACTATTGAAAGCTACCACACTAATTGAATTTGTCCGCGTAAAACGAATATTCACGCACAATCGTTCCACAATTCATTGAATGTCCATACACAATTTGTTACTTTTATCATAACATCCACTAAAACATAATCAATTTATCAAATATTTATTCTCATAATATTCTAGGTGGATCTGATCTCAAGGTACACACGAAAAAAATACCACCATCTAAACTTCAGAAAACTTTCTTGGGAAAGACTGGCCGTAACCGAGACATCACCCTCACTCCACGAGATTTTAATTATGATAACCATCATTATCAGTACCTTAAATATAGCAAGAAAATTAAGGTAAATTTATAAATATTCATATTTTATGCAAATCATGATATGAGTTGTAGAATTATTGATATGTAAAAATTTGCAACACTATTAGTACACAGAGAGAATTTTTTTACTAAATGTAAGTTCAAAAAGTGACAAGTCCACGTTTCGAAATTTAGAAGTAAAAATATTTCTATTCAACAGTAAATTTTGGGTTGTCATAAGTAATTTTTGAGTTATCCTAAGTAATTATTTTACTAAGACACCTCTTAAGTATCAAGTAAACTTACAAGAACTCCAAATTTACTATCAAATAGAAGTATTTTTACTTCTAAACTTCAAAACGTGAACTTGCACGTGCACTTTTTGCACTTATATTTAGTAAAAAAATTATCTGCGTGTAGACACTGGAATGTTAAAGAAAAATAGTTGATCAAAAATCACATAAAAATAATAATATCCTCATGGAGAAAATCAAGTATCTAAATAGAGTAGACCACTAGAGAAGTTTCTGATAATTTAGAGTTATTATATATTGCTAACGTTATAAATGTAGGCACGTATACACTGATGATATACGGGTCTCGGTTTACTGATACGTGCATTCATCCTTTAACCGCTGTGCTTGTGTACTCGGCGAGTATTAAATAATATTACATGATCATGACGTAATAATGTAAGTGGATAAGAGAAGGTAGAAACTAGGAAACTGGAGGAAAGAAAATGTGCACTATATATCCAGAATTATAGGATGATAAATAAAATTAATTTTGTTTTGGAAATCGACTCACTAAAACTTGCCACAGTCATTTTATTAGGACTTGCTTTTATGTTTAAATTCAATTAAATGAATTGTCAATAGATGAAAAAAAATACTCGGATGTGAGAATGTGTTTTTAAAATTTTTATTTTTCGATTTATTTTCACGATGGATTTCCCAACACTAAAATACTAGAGAGATTGCTGAATAGAATAGCTATGTATGTGAGTGCTTTTGAAAGTAATTTCCGAAATGACTTCGAGTGTATATACTATGTATGTTATATGTATGATATGTAGCACTAGAGCACGCACTAGTTTTCTAGAATTTGACACTTGCATGACTCAACTTAAATATTGAATGTTACCTTTGATTGTTTCATGCCTCCCAACCATTTAAATATGCACTGTGGTGTAAGCTCACAGTTAGAACGAGTGGATTTGTTATGTGATAAGATTAATTTTGTATTTAAATGAAAATATGCCTATTATAAAAATCACAGATAAATTTTAGGAGATTAATTAAAATATAAATTATGACAGATTTATATTATGAAGTTATTAAAAATTATTATAAATGAAGATATGTTTGTAATTGATATTAGATTTCAAAGAATTAAACAAAAATTGAGTAACAAAGTGAGTTATTCACAATAAAATGAGATATTTTCAGCTACTAAATAAAGTCTAAGAAATAGTAAATGAATGAGTCTCTTATGTAAAGGGAATCCTTTTTGATTTAATGTAATTTTTTTACGTAACATAATATTTGTATCAATGAGTGATAAAAATGACTAGAGTGAATGAGCACATTGAAAATAATTACCCAAGTATAAAAGCGATACACTAACGAAACCAACCAACTGAATTTAAAGGGTAAAATTTTACTTAGGCAAGTTGTAATCAGTTTTGACTTCAAGTGCACGTAATTTTATACTATTCGAATTACTGTGAATGTTTTGGCTTTATTCGTACAATCAAAGAAACGTCCAACGTTGTTTAATGTTTCTAGTGTTTTGTGAATGGAACATTTAATGTTGCATATATAAAATTAAAAGTCAAAAGATTACTACTATAGATAAAGGGACTATTAATTGAGTTAATTGAAATAGCTACAACTAATAATTATATAAAGAAATATCTCGTGTTAAAAATAATTAAAACTTTCGAGAAATTTCTGTAAACGTGTGGGTTGGAAAAGTTAATAATTATTCAGACTGCAAGTTGGAGTTGCACTTCGCATATAATATGTAAAGTTCTTAATAGAAAATACATTAAAAAAATATTTTTAAGGATGATTAACAATTACAAAAAAATCTCCTTTAAAATTAAATTTTGATCCTACCAAGAGAATAGAGATGGTTGTAAAATATTTTATGAGTAATATACTTTACAAAGATATAAAATTTTAATGAAGAAACCAAAAAGAAATTTTACGATAGTTTTTTCTGTCACGTAAACAAGTGAAGTATACGAGACTACTACTAACTGAGTAAAGGTATAAATAATCTTGAAAAACACTTGATTACATTTTAAAGTAAATATAAAAGAGTAGAATTGTCAACAAAGGCCATACGAATAGAAATTTAATACCAAATTACACCATATACAGCATGTTATTCCACAAATTACTTTTAATTAATTAACTAATTAGTTTTCTATATTGAATGGTTGTGTATTACCTTACCAAATATTGTGGAAGCTATTTTGGAGTTTCAATACGAAGGCTCTGAAACCGCTAATTCAAACCCCCAACCTCATCCAGATTGACTTCATTGTCCGTCAAGCAGTTTGTATATTACATAAGAGCTTAATTTTCAACTCACAAAACTGAAAAGTATGGAGCTAGATGTAGTTAAGGGTTTCAGAGCCTGACTAAGTATTAGCAAACTATTTTAATATAATAAAAGCACCAAGTTGATTTGATAGTGAAAATATTAATATAGTTATGCTCATATTTCTATATTACTTTAATATATTATGATAAAAAAACTTTATTAACATATAAACTGAAGGTTTAATCATATTTAATCGACAATTAACCCATATTCCTTCAATAACTAAATTTATCCCATCTTTAGATTCATTTATTCCTCGACCATTACTTGAACTGCAAACTCCTACAGAAGGAATCCAGGTTTCTGAACGTTATGGATATTTATGACAAAAGACACTTGGAGAATTCATTTGCAACTATGAATTTAAAAATTTCAGAATTGAAAAAGAATTTATTCAAATTATTATGATATAGATTAATGTAGATTTTTTTTTGATAAAACATTGAAAAATTGTTATTCTAATCCTCTTGCAATGAATACTGTGTAGAAACTTTCAAGGATCATCAAAACTTGACAGTTCTAATATTTATTTATCTGATTGTTGAAGGGTTTGGAGAGTAAATATGAAGAAGACATCAAGCATTCTATGAGCAACGAAGTTGGCAAAAGCTTGGTAACTGTAAAGCCCACCTTTGAATCTCCAGATGCTAAATTCAACCGATTACGAAATGCAGACTGTCCACCATCATCTAGACCAGCTATGGCTAATAGGTTATTGGATTGGTTCTCAGTGGTAATGGCAGATTCTAAATACCGTCGTCAACGTGTTAAATCAAAAGGTAATAATATTTTTTTTAATTATTATTCAGAAACTTGAATCGTATTTATTAAGAGTAGTTAAGCTCTGTTCAGTACTAAAGTAATGAAGAAAGTTGATGGAATTTAGTGGTAATAGTGCCAATAACCCAAACTAGTTCAGAAATTTTCGAATTATCTAAGAGTTATTGGTCATTTCTCCTAACTTTAGGTCACTTCCCGGCTGGATGTCAAATTGAAGTGAGATGGATGTTTGGACACCTGGATAGTGATGGAGATCGTAGAATTTCACTTGGAGAACTTTATAGCCTAGAACATGATCAAAATGAACCGTGTCTAAAGCCTTTCCTTGATGCATGTGACACAGACGGGTAAGTCAAATAATTCCATTTCCACTTGTCACATGATTACATCAGACTACGCTTGTAATGTAATAGGATATGAAATAAAATGATTTTTTCAAAGCCTCATTAATGCTTTCGAGTTTTATAAGACAGTTAAATATGAAAGGTCAATTTTTAAATTTTATTTCTATTCATTTAAATATATTCTAAAATCCAATTCATTATTTAAAAGTCTTCTATTTAAAACTTCAACAGATTATCTACTTTATTCCTAAAATATAATTTTTCAGAGGTTTTTAGTAGTTATCCGGGAGTCATTAGAATATACCTTGAAGTTTTAATCAATTTTGCATGACATTGAAGGTTTCTGAAACATAAAATATAATGATTATGTTTGATGTTAAACGTTTTATTGAATTTTTATTACTTTAGAAATTTTTTATTTTTATAAATCCAATAAATTATTGAAGAAATAATATAAGTTTAAAATTTAGATAATTATTAATTAAAAATTCTTATAAGTTCATTAGTTTCCTCAGTTTAAATCTATTCTACTTGATTTACTTCAGAATTATTTTAGCTATCAAAGAGAAGTATTCAATAAACTTCGATTACAAGTGTTCCAAGATAAATACTGTAACATAAAATTAGTCTTGAAGTTTTTTCCTCTTAATAATTCAGCTGAAAGAGACTGCTTTTTTAAAAATATAACTTCATTTTATCTAAATGTAATATATAAAATTGCTTTGTTATTTATAAATTTGAATTACTTTCAGGAAAAAAGTATTCTTTTGAATATTAATCATTTCAACATATAATAAAATTTTCTTTGTAATTTATCATTAAAGAAATCTAATTTACATTTTTAAATTATATTGAAAAGCAACATTTCATTTTAACAAAATTTTAATTATCATATTACAAAAAACTTCTTTATACTTTAATATTAAAATACATAACTTTAAATTGTTAATTTCTGAGAGAAATTCTTGAATTGAAAAATGTTATAAATTTTTTTTTTCACTAGTTATAACAGAAATGGTTTTTAATTAAATAAAACTGAACATTACTTGAGAATATTTTTAATTAATAAAGCATTTATGTAGGAAGTTAAATTAGAATAAAAAGATAACACATGTAGAATAATTTAATGATTAATAAATAATTAATTCGAAACAAGTAAAATGAGTAGTTTAAAAAAATTGCCTTTTTCAAAACGATTTATGAATTTTTGCAGAGACATTTTTGTCAGTGGACCAGAATGGTGCGGATGTTTCTCAAAAGCAGAAAGGCCTTGTGCTGCAGTACGTAGACGTTCATCACCAGAAGTAGCTCCAGTTTGTGATTCTCGGGGATATTACCGCAGTACACAATGTCATCGTGGACTTGGTCTTTGTTGGTGTGTTGATCCTCATGGTGTTGAATTTGCTGGTACCCGAACACGCGGTACTAAACCTGATTGTGGTGAGTAATATATTGTCAAGGTTTCTTGAAAATGAAATTGAGATTTATTCAAATGTGAATTTATTTACACAGATGCAATTGTCAGTAAGATAAGTAATGACGGCTTAAAAACAAACAGTGTCAATTTGGAGAACGAACTAAGTGATGACGACGATGAAGACGATGATGGCGTAGACTCTGCAAACGATCTTGAGGGTTCTGCTGATCAACCACTTGACTTCTAAACATCCTTGAAACTTATTTGTAAATCATCTTGGAAAGCATTTTCCCGTGCGCAGAAAGTATGAGACAAACTTTATCAGCTTTTTGACTTCTCAAGGGCAATATTATCAATGTTGTCAATGTTTGAGAGTCTCTTAAGCAGATTGAGCTCTTGCTAATTAAATAATAAATAAAGACCCTGCCGTCCCTCGCTAATTTGTGAACACAATAGCGGCCGGTAATACTAAATCTAGTTTCACACATTTTTTAAATTTGCATTTCAACTCAATCAAAAGTAATTCTCGCACGATCTTAATCAACATATATTTAATTATTGAATAATTAAATAGTACATAAATGAAACTTCGGCCTCATGCACACGACATTTATAAATATTCTAATTATCGATTATTTATAAGACTAAAAAATTTAATGAAAATAATAAAATTTGAAATAAAAATCATTATTACAAAAAGTATAAACATTCCAAGCTAAACTATGTATTAAAAATATTATTTGTTATCATTTGTAATCATTAAGCTGATAGTACTGCAAATTGTACAAGTATTAAGTATAATATTCAGCATGATACTATTTAACGCCTTAAGATACTTTACTTATTAAAGAGCAATGATACTTTGATTTCCGAAAACATCAAAAGCCACTGTTCAGTATCATTAGTACTCATATTAATAGTTATTAATAAATCATTATTTTCTAATCATTTTTCTGTTACTTAGTAAGCAATAACGGTCAAACTCGTGATTCACATTCCATTTATCCTCATGTAATAATAAACATTTTTACTTGCTACTTGTATTCAAAACAAGTACTGTGGTAATGTTTTAGAAGAATAGATTTAATGAAAAAATATATATATGTATGTATAACTTATAGAGATAAAATTGGTGTGAACAATGTGAATAGAAAAATATCTTAGATGCCATGAAATAGGTGAAGCTAAAGATGTCAACACATTAAGCTCTTCCGTCCCCGTAAATTTAAATTCATTTCGTTTTTCAATATTATTTCTCTGTATAAAAATTTTTAAAGGAAATTATTTGACAAATTACATATTTTATGAAATGATGCTGTTATTAATTTCCAACAATTCGATGATTGATGTTTATTTTTAAAAAACCATGCGTTAATATTTAATTAATTAATCAATTAATTATCTATAATAAGATTATGATATCTCATTATTTGGTGTTTTGAAAAACCCAATGAAATAGTTGTTGCTGAAAATTTAGCTGAATGTTATTGTTACAATAACAATGCCTGTTAAAGCATCTCGCCATATTATTCTGCAACATCCAGTTAGCTTAATTGATAAATAATTCGATAATGGGATAGATTCTTTAATTAATATAATGTATAACACATTGTATATAATTAAATATACAATAATAAGTGAACTATGAAACTATGGTACTTCATACTGCAATTATTAATTTATAAGTCAAAAACAAACTCCAGATTAAACTGAATAAAAAATTTTTACTTGATTTTAAAGCTATTGTAGGTACCACGTATGATTAGTATTATACATATGGCTGTAAGAACTTATTATTAATAAAGATTGTTGTAGAAATATTGATCTTATATCTTCCACACACATATACCATATACAATGATATTGATAATAATTAAAAAATTTAGAAATTATTAACAATGAACAACGACAACATTGTAATAATCATTAAATTATATATTGTAATTATCGTTTCTTATTGCTACATGATAATTAATTACATGATATTGATGTACATGGAGCACATCTAGCTATAGGTGGACAAGGAAACTGGTAACATTGAACCTGTTGGAGCACACAAACTGTACCAGCTGCGCAGCGTACTGTGAAGCATGGATTCATTCCTACATCATTAGGATCATCTCCAACTGAAATACAAACTCGGATGAATTCGTTTGTTGCTACAAACATTTCGTTAGCTTATAAAAGTATTTTCTCACATTCGATGCAACGTCCATCTCGACAATATTTGGTTTTACATTGATTACTTTCACTGCACTGTAAATCATGATGAAAAATTTATATCATGTATGGATTATTTATATGATTTATATGAATGTAAATAATTGCGAAAATAATAACTATACCCAGAAACATCGACATGAAACATCCGATATAACAAAAATTGCAAGGATAATGGCGATAGATATCGTTGAAAATTGTGCCATTTTATGATGGAATTCACTGTAACGAGATTTTTATGATTGAATGTAAATCTTTACTGCAATTTATGTATCAAGTAAATCTCCTTTATATGTTTCATGTATTCTAAAAATATACATTCTTCCTTGTTTTTCAATTTGACATATTGATTTTATGAAATAATTAATTACAAATATTTTCTTACTGTTAATTTTGATCAATTGAATAATGACACTCGTTTTCATTTGTGTGAATTAAAAAAAATAAAATAAATTTTAAAGATAAATGGTGTTGAAGGGTAAGAATTTATCTTATAAGATCGTAACAAAAATTTAATTTTATCTCTCTCAGAAGAAAGGTACTTCTAATTCATAATTCAATATTATTCATCTTCTATCTAGTACATAAGTTTTTAAATCTCTTTTCATATTAATAATCAACGAATTAAATTACTTTCTACTGAAATAAATATTTTTTATTTAATTACTCGCGTTTTTTATTACATATTGAATAAATAAAAGACTGTCCTAAGTATATCGAGTATAGAATTATTCACTGTTGACAAGTATAATATTTTTTTAATATCAAGATTTTATTGATTTAAATATTTGCGACATATCGGCACCTTCATCATAAAAAAAAATATATGTCTATCTGGTGGCATTCATTTTTATCATCATATTTATCGAATTTTACTCATGAGTAAATAATATACAGAACCACGAATTTCATCACAGCTAATGCAATCAAAAATCAATTGCATATTGTGTATCGTAACATACTTGGATTAACATTTTTCAATATTTATATATTTATTTAAAATAAAAATTCTTTGATGGAATTTTTCAAACAAATAATACATATTTCATTTATGCATACATATAAATATTTAATTGTTTTTTTAATTTTAATTTGTGATGAATCTTGATTTGTAAAATATTAAATAGTTTATAATTTAATTGAGCTTGACATGATTGTTTAATGGATTGAAACAAGATTTTCCACAATTTTGAAAATTAGTGGTAGTTTGAATCATTTTATAAAAGAGTAAATAGTCAATTAATCATGATTATCGAAGACAGATATTCATATGTATACTGACGTATTTGAGATCAATAATCGCTGGAATGTTTTAGGATTAAAATTGAAAAAAGTAAATATAATGATTAACTGTATCCATTTCCTTCTATAAATTATGTATATATCACAAATAATATTTGATTCGAATCCTAGAGAAGTGATATAACATGTTTCATACTTGAGTTGATTAATTATAGACTGCTAATGATAAATATTCTAGTCAAAATTAGTAGAGGTGAATTATTCAAAGCTTATCATCAATTATAGGTCATTTGGATATGTGAATTTACAGTATTAGAAGATTATGTTCCAACAGTACACTTTCATTATATGAGTACTTCAGATCTATGCACTAAGATCAACTTTGAAAAATTTATAATTTAAGAACTTGGAGATCCTCTGTATGGAACACATTTCGCCACAGGTGGGCAAGGAAACTGGATACATTGAACTTGTTCGAGAACACAATAACCAGCACATCGTACTCTACTGCAAGGATTCATGCCTACATCATTAGGATCATCTCCATCTAAAATTGAATTAATTAATGATCTTGTAATTCTTAAAATTTTTTCTCATTACTTTACTTACAATTAATGCACTGTCCATTACGACAATAGTTGGTACTACATTGGACACTATCTGTACACTGAAATGTTTTCAAGTTAAATCATTTTTCTGCACACTTTTTATTAATTATTAGACGATTAATGATGAAAATACCTCAACATCTTGAGCTGCAGTGCTGGATACTACCACAGCCACCAAGAAGATAGCGATAGAGATGACAGAATAGTGTGTCATTTTGTGATTTATGGCTTATTATTAATTAATACAATTTCTAAAATATATTATATCAACTTTAACTGCCAGTGATGTTATATAACGTGCCTTGATGTTCGCGTTGGAAGCTACTAACTCACTTATCCGCTTTTATACTCACAATGTAAACTAAAAATAGCGGTTTTCCTCCTTTTATTAATATTTACAACATAAGAATGTTATTGTATGACAATACATGTATTTTTAATGTCGCAAATTTCTCATCTATCAAATTCTTTTGTATGTAAATAAGCAATTCAATAACTTTTTAATGTTACCTTCAATATTCCTATAAGTTTATATTGAATTCTTTTTCATTTTTAAATAAATTTCAAATAAAATTATCGATATTCGATAATAATATATAATAGCCTTTGAAGTAGGTCGGTTTTATTTAATGAATTAATATTTTCATTTTGAATGTATGTAATGTTGTTTCAGATAATGGCCAAGGCTGTTTCATGAACATGTGTTACAATTACCTCTCTTTTGAGGTATGTCTCGTGCGGGGAATCCCGGAATTATCCTCATACTAATACGAGCAATGAAAAATATTGATGAATCATAGAAATAATGAGAGTACAATGTTAATAAAGATCTATTAAAATCATTTTTAATTTTAATTCGTAATATTTTTAGATAACATCGTAATATTATCAATAGAATTAATATTTTTTAATGTTAATGTTATTTTAGCATCCAGGACGATTTCGACGTCTCTCACAACTAGCTATTGGTGGACATGGAGCTCGAATGCACTGAACTTCATGAAGAACACAGATTGATGGGTATCTACATAAGACAGTAGCACATGGATTAACATCTACATCATCACTTACGTCTCCATCTGTAATAACAAACCGTAATTAGTATTATTTAATTGAATAAAATCTTTTTTCTTCAAATAATTCGCTTACAATTGATACAACGTGAAGCACGACAGTAATTAGTTTGGCATTGAATGCTTTCCGTACACTGTAAAATATTTATTTATTTATCATTGATTTATCATTTATTTATTCAAAATGAACAATTAAAATAATTACCGGGCTTCCGTAAGGTCTCTGACATACAATGTATGGCACTAGACAAGCAGCAAGCAAAATAGCTACAGAAATTGCTGTAAGTGATGTCATTTTATTCACTTAAACAATTCAATTTGTTCTTTTTCCTTTTATACTTTGAATTTGTCAAAAATAATTTATGTTGCTTGAATTTTCCTTATTTTCTCAGCAGTTTAATTGTCAATAATTGTTTGGCAATACCAATGTTTGGAATTGCTGAATATATTACATCTACTTTTACACTTCTTCTTATCAATATGTACATACATCCATTCAAGAACAAGACAACGTAATATGTATAATAAATCTACAACATGACTTGATACATTTGATTCAAAGATATGCTTATCAGTCATTCTGCATCGATCAGTTATCCCGAAAGATTTCCTTGAATACATTAAATAAAGTTTTAGGGAAAAAAAACAATAAAAAGTTTTTTTTGTTAAAAAAGTTTGTTTATTTTTCGCCTAATTTTCGTAATGCAGTGTTATTTCCAAAATTTAAATGAATTATTTATGATAGCAGTCATATGTGTTGTGTCTATGTCTATTGCAGGATAAAACTTTTTGATGTGAACTGTTGTATATTTGTTGTACTATTTGATTTGGTGGATCCTGGGCGTTTGAAAATTTAGTGAACATACAATACTGTTGTGAATCATTTAAATAATGAAAATTCCAACTTTGACATTTCTGCATTTGTTAGGTACGAATTGTTTGATGTAATAATTATTAATAAATTCTTCTAGCTAAATTTATCTAATTTCATTTATCCTGAAAGTACATTCTGAAAGAAAAATAAATAATTGGATTAATTGTTAGTTTAATAATTCATTTTCTATGCTATTTATAAAAGATTATTTCTTACTAGTCCAACAGCAGTAGCAAGAGCTGGAGAAACATTGACAAGGCTTCCACTAAAAGGAATGAAAAATAATAAATTAGTTAAACCCATAAATATAAGTTGGAACAAGAGTATTATTAGATTGAAAATAAATAAGATTTCTAAGAGAAAATTTTACCCGTCGCAATCATTGCAGCCTGGAGCAGCATTGGCAAGAGCCAAAACAGCGACGAGGACTATCATCAAACAGAAGACAATGAAGTTCATGTTGGTGATTATTTTTTGTATTTTACTTACAGAACGACGATGAAGTAGTAAAATGCTCGTATCGTTAAACCCACATGATACCGTTTTTATACCCCACAAAATTTACATTTCGAAAGACTTTATTTCTTATAAGTTTTTTATTATGTCTAGATGGAGATTTCGCTTATATCATAATAAATATATCTTAATAACAATAAACATTCAATATTATTTAGTATTAACTGAACTTTATTTTCAAATACACATAAGAAAATGTCAATAAGATTTATAAAAATATTGTCATTTATAAAAGTGTAAACATTGGATTATCCTCATTTTTAGAACTTTAGGACCACTCTTAAGCTGAAAAAATAATTATTTAGATCGAAAAAATTTATCTAAATTGTTTTTTTACATTAGTTCGAATTTATACCTTTTTCCAGCATGAAGTAGGTCAAAACCTTCGTTAATTTTATCGAATTGCATTTGGTGAGTAACAAAATCATCAAGATTTAGTTTCTTTTTCAGATATTCATCAACCAGTTTTGGCACACTATCTTTGGATTTCCATCCCCCAAAAGCGGTACCTTTCCATACTCGCCCTGTGACTAATTGGAATGGACGAGTACTAATTTCTTGTCCAGCGGCTGCTACACCAACAATGACTGAAGTGCCCCAACCTTTATGACAAGACTCTAATGCTTGGCGCTATGAAATTAATAGAACGTTATTCTTATTTGTTGAAAACATCTACATATTATTAAGTTGTGATTTTACCATAGTTACTACATTTCCAACACATTCAAATGTATAATCTAATCCTCCATCTGTTAATTCAATTAACTCCTCAGTTATTGGACGGGTCAGTTTTTTTGGATTGATAAATTCAGTGCATCCAAAGATTTTTCCTATAACGATAATATCTGTGTAATCAACTGTACAACAATTCTGTAGAATATGGGATCAAAAAGCAACCTTTTTCAAACTTAGATTCATCAACATCAATGCCAATAATACGTGAAGCACCAGCAGCTTTACAGCCAAGTGCAGCAGCTAATCCTACAGCACCTAGACCCCAAATCGCACAATTGCTTCCTGGTTCTACTTTAGCAGTATTCAAAGCAGCTCCATAACCTGTGGAAACTCCACATCCCAACAAGCAAACTTTGTCTAAAGGTGCAGCAGGATCAATCTATATTTAAATTTAATTTTATCCAGGTAATTCATATTTAATTGAAAAATTTTTTCATTGATAAAAGTATGTACTACCTTGGCTAATGAAATATCTGCTACAACAGTGTATTCAGAAAATGTCGAACAGCCCATGAAATGTGCTAAAGTTTTTCCTTTGCATGTAAATCTGGAAGTTCCATCAGGCATTTGCCCTTTTCCTTGAGTTAAACGAATAACGCTGCATAAATTAGTTTTTGGAGATTTGCAAAATTTACATTCTCTACATTGAGGAATATACAAAGGTACAACATGATCACCTGCAGCATGATAGTTAGATTTAATATTTGAATATAATTATAATTAACTAAATAAGGTTGCAGTAATATGTACCCGGCTTGAATTCAGTAACATCTTCTCCAACACTCTCAACAATACCGCTACCTTCATGACCGAGAACACAAGGAAATATTCCTTCAGGATCTGCTCCAGATAAAGTATAAGCATCGGTATGACACAAGGCAACAGCTATAACTTTAATTCTCACTTCATGAGCTTTTGGTGGTGCAACTTCGATTTCTTCAATAGATAATGGTTCTTTTTCTTTCCAGGCTACTGCTGCGCGACACTTGATAACCTATTGACATTAAGACTTTAACCTAAGATGATCATCATTGCACAAAATAATTATGTAAGTTATTTGCTTTAGTATTGAATATTTTATATTTCTAAATAAATTCATAAATATAATTATTAATAAAGATGATAAAATAATACTTACTTTTCCTGTAGTGCCAGCCATTCCGATATAATTAAATAGATAAAAAATAACCGGAAAGAGCACAGATAAAAAATGATAGTAAGTTATTTTATACTATGTATTGTTATTTAATGAGAGATTGATTGATAACTAGTGATTTCCGCAATTGTAGCTTCGCAATTAATCGTACAATATCAATATTACGATCAATTGAAACTTATACCACCCTTGTCATGCTATTGTGTATTATATACACATTACAATTACATCACTTGCAAATGCAATGGTAGTGACATCTCGTAGGCATTGAAACCTATAATTAATATAATTTGAATTCAAGTCAAATTGAATTGTTGGATCAAATGGCCAACTAATAAATTATATATACTTAAGTATTATATCCTAGTGAACAAAAAAATTAATAAATAAATGTCACTAATGTCTTTTTTTTATAAACATTTATTATCGAAGAATTTAAAAATTACGTAAATTTAATGTACATATTTAATTAAAAATGTCTTTCTTACTGAAAGCTATAAAATATGAATCAATGAAAAAATCATCATAATTGCCTATGAACTTTTTTGCTGGTTCGCCAAGGCTTTACAATATATAAAGTCTTTATAAGAGTAACATAATGTGCAACCATGTATCCAACAAGAGCACCAATACCACAAGGAATTGGCCATATTTGCCAGGGTCTATCCCAATCTAATGGTATCACAATTGCCCCAAGCCAAGTACCCAGTAGAGTGTAGTTAATATTACGACCCATTGCTTCTACAATAATATTGCCGTTAGCAGATTGAGCTCCTGTTAAAACCGCTAATGCTGTTTCTACACCCAAATGTAAGCAAGGTGGAATAAATGTTAATGTACTTAAAACTATTGTGAGCATTGTTGTTTCTTCATGATGAGTAGATAATGGTGCTCCAAACAAAACAATTGCACCATAATATATGATACATAATGAAATAAGTATAATAAAAAATCGAAGAATATCTTTGAATGTTTTAGACCATGATTTTCTTGGTTTTGAATTCAATAATGCCTTAGAATCAATCTTATCAAAATGATGTCGTTGATTATAGAGAATTGAAAATAGATACTTTATCACTTCTGCAAACATTAATATCAATAAAATTGGAATAAATTTGTACTTTCCCACATTATATAAAGTATTGTTATAATTGAGTAAAAAGAGAATACAGGGGAAATAAATGCAAGTGAACGAGCAGTAAAAAAGAATTAGTCTTTGACCAATCATCTTGTTATAATTCACTGATATGATCTGAAAAAAAATTTATTTTATTATTATTAATACACTTTTTATGTCATGTATTTCTATATAATTGGAAATTTTTGTTTTGTTGTAATCATGAGTAGAATGTCTAATGTTTACAGCAAAGTATTGATTGATTTATAAAAATATCACAGATAAACTTACCGATAATTTTTATCGATCTTCGTTTAAATTTTCTATGCATAGAATATTTTTTGTTTGATTTTTAGTTAATATTCAAATTAATTATGATTAACGAATGTTTTTGTTGTGCTCACGACTAAACATCACATGCTAACAATAATACACGGTCATGTGATCAAGTAATTCTGAAATTATCCTACAGATAGCATTACCAAATAATTTACAAATTTATTTTGCGCGGGAATTTTCTAAATAATCATGAATTATTAAAATTATTAATACCTAATATTTTTAAATAGAAGCATTGTTTGAAAATTCTATAAACTTTTGTTATTTTTGCAATTCAGTTTATCATTTGACCGATCAGATATGTTGATAGAATAAAAAAAATAAGATGAAATATTCTAGTATTAATACTTTTCACTCCGTGATGCTTTTAAAAAAAAATATTTTTTTTTTAATAAAATATATAAATCCAAGTTATATTATATTAGAAATATTCAAGGACATCATATTTCATAACGTTGTGAATTGTCAGCTTAGATTCTCGATAAAATTACTTTAACAAGATCATCGCATGCATTTCCGCTATTCTAGATGTTATAAAAGACCCATCAGAACTCTAGCATCGCATTTTCAGTTTGTTCTTAGAATCTCTAAAAACAAAAAAATGAATTTGAAGGGTTTTAAAGTTTTTCTTTGTTTATTCGTTGGTTACAATTTATTTACGGTAGTAACTCCTTTTGCACCGTTACAAGGTATTAGCTATAAGAAATTTGTTATGGTCGTTATGTGAAAGCATTAAAATTTTATCTTAGACTTAAATTAAATAAATTGGTAATTTGTTTGGAATGGATATAGTGTTTGTTTTATACTAAGGATTCGGTGTTATATTAAATTTTTCAGAAAGAACTTTTCATCCTGCTCTACGTCAACATGCAGAATTCGGTGAAGGTGTTCGAGATTGGTTTCGGGGTGTAAGGGACAAAGTTCGACATTTTTTTAAGCCAACAACAACTACACCATCTCCACCACCTGTAGAAATTGAATCAGTCAAAAAAGAAATTATGAATAAATTCTTTTTAGATTTAGGTAATTATGAATTTATTTATCAGTTTTTTGTGCTAGTTTTAAAAAGATAATTGTTTCGACAATAATCTATAATTGCTTGTTATGTAATAGCAAATACTCGATTTAATCCTGATCGTGACTGGGGCTTTCGCATGGGAAGTTGGTACTTCATTAAAAAAGTTGATGATTCTTCTGATGATAAATTTCCTGATTATGTACCAACAACTACAACTACTGAATCTGTTGATGAAGTCACTCGAGAACGAGAAGAACTTATTACTTCCACTCCAGCTCAACCATCTATTTATACTGAAGAAATTGAAACATTAGACCATGGACGTGTAGATTCTACTTCACTGAATCCAGTTGAAAATACTGAAAACAGTGAAAAAATCCAACCTGAACATACAATATTCACAACTGATGTTTCTACCATTGCTGAAACAACTATTGGAGAAAGTTTCATGTCTACTCAAGAGTCTGTTGGAGTCAATGATATCAATACGTCTGTAGCTCCAACGACACAAATCGTTGAAACACGACTAAAACATGATAATGAAAATGAAATCCCAATGAGAGATCCTCTATCTGCTGAAGTTATCTCGCCACAATAAAACACTCCATGGAAGAGTTAAAAATTTTCACTTAATATGTAAAATTAAACTAAATAAATTGAGAATTTTTAAAAATTAAAGTTATTATAATTTTTATTGCGCGAAATTTATTATAAATATTTTTATATGAACAAATAATACATTACAATAATTTTCACGCTGATGTACAAATTGGAGCCTGCGTGATGGTGTTGAAAAATTACTGTAAGAAAGAAAAAAGATTTTTCCAAATAAATCAGAGTTCATTGATAATTTTGAGTAATTTAATTTTGAAAATAGATTCCGTAGCCACCACCAATTTGTTTTCAACATGCATGAGACATTGAATTAAAAAATAATCGATTCAAATGATAAATTCCAACACCATAATTTATACAGAAACATGCACTAATAGATTGTTTTCAAAGCAAATATAAATGATAATAAAAAAAGCTATCGATGAAATTAAATTTTTCACAGATAAGTACGTATAATTGGCACGGTGATGTAAGTTTAAACATAAAATGATGAATTAGAAGCAGTAAAAGTAATGAACTGAAGATCCCAACAAAATAAGTAGACATGCTGACCATTTGATACATCATCATAATTATAATACCATCTTCTTTCGAAATTATTGATATACAAAAATGGTTTGTTTTACTTCTTTCCCTAAAATGTAAATAAAAATATACATTTATGACAACATGCAAAAATTAATATAAGCATCCATTGTAACATTGAAATTATTTTAATTTCTACTGTTATCAGCATAATCGTTAAAATGATATGTATACAATGTTTTATGTGAATTAATGCCTGAAAAGAATTTTGTCCTCCACCAATTATTATCAAAATGAAACAATAGTTTTAATTTATGAATTGAAATTTTGCAATAAGAATAAGCTCATTGAATAAAATGCCAATTGAAAATTTTGATATTCATGCACCAATAAATTATTCCAATTAATCATAAATTAATTAGTAAGTTTCTATAATTTTGCGAGAATATTACGCCAATAAAATTTCTCTAAAATTGCAGCAATTAAAAATAAAATACATTTACAATAGATAAATCATAGAAACTTCTTAATCGTTTTTCTTAATGGTAATTCAATAAATAGAATATTGGATAATAATTATAAAATATTTTCGAATGTTAAGAATAAATCTTACCTTCTTAGAGGCCGCTCCGACCTTGCTTTTACCAGTACCTCGAACTTTCTTCATTCTGTTCTTACGTTCTTTCCTCTGTTTTCTAGTCTGTTTTTGTTTTTCAAAGAGACCATGCCTTGCGAGCCTATATTTAGGTTCAAATTTCTTTGCGAAATCCAGAGTTTCATAGATTAATGCAAATCCAGTTGATTTACCACCACCGAAGTTTGTACGGAAACCAAATACAAAAACAACGTCTGGAGTAACTTTATACATTTTTGCAAGTTTTTCTCTGATTTCAGTCTTGCGAACTGAAGGTTGACCAGGGTGAAGTACATCCACGACCTATCAAAAAAATGTAATTATTAATAAATCTCATAAATAGTTGTATACTAGATTAAAGTATTGTTAAATTATTTCAAATGATTAAAAAAAACTTACCATTTGTTTTCGACATAACAGTCGATTGGTCATGAACTTTCTCGTTCTGATTGTAGCTGTTCCTTCAGTCTAGAAATAAATAAAAGATTTTGTATACATGACTTTGAGGTTATATTATTTACTAACATAATTAGACTAGTAAGTTCTTCGTTTCAAAAACTATTATTTTTAGACCAATATTATGAAATCAATTCATAGTGAGTATAATTTGCAAATTTAAATAACTATTATAATAATGAATAATTGTTTAGATTGAAGTATTCGGCTTTTAATTATTTGTCCTAGTAATTGACTGTGGATAACCTAGTTTGACAACTTTGTATGCATTTCTTTTCACTTTTCACGACAAAAATTCAGCACTATTCACATATTATAAACAATTGATAATCGGCGAACACTTTTATCTTGATTAATATTCTCATTATTTATTGATTATCACTTATTTTACGGATTAAAATACATACCATTTTGCCTGAATTGCCGTGCTACTTAGAAAAGGCCTAGAAGGAAGCGTGTGGCGCTGAATACGGTTAGAGCATGAACAACAAACAATGTTACCAACAATAAGAGAAAAATTAGGATGGCATCGAATTTTCATTTATAACAATTGCTTGCACTGCGAGTATACGCCAAGCCAAGTATCTTTTACAAATTGAATTTCAACTTTACTTCCAGGGCTTCTATTTATATTTTATAATAATTCATGTAATTTTCGAAATTAAAAAGGTTTTGAACAACATTTATTGTTGCAAATAGATACGAAAGATCTTTTTTATAAATTATCTGGTTATATGACAATATACTTCAGACAGCTAAGAACTTCTACAAGCCAACAAAATTTTACGACATTTTTTATAGCTTTTATAATGAAAAAAAATTCCTAAGAGAAGCGGTGAAAAGGAGAAATCATACTTGAAATTTATATAATTGTTGAAATATTATTAAACGTTTCATAAGGATTAAAATTCGTTGTATAAAGGAAAAAATAATCAAGATGATAGGACAAATGGATGCATTGCTGCCAAGTCTTGGGTTCTTCACGGTAAATCTTTACGCGTAGGTGGCTATTGGTTAAATTAGTGGGGGAGGTGTGATTATTGAATAGGATTGGTAGTTTAGAATGGGGGTGGGGGAATTTCTGGCGACCTCTACTGGAAAAGCGGTCATCGTTTGAACTTATGTGTTGCATTGCTGTCGAAAATGGCGTCAGGTTCGGAGCTGCCAGAATATTCGTCCTCAGTGAAACGTCGGAAAATTGAAGGTGACGTTTACGGTGTTTCGGCCTCTTTGGATCTCGATTTTCCAGGGCGCAAACCGCAACGTTCATCTCCGCGTGGAGAAATAGAAGGTATTTTATTAAAAAATATGGCTAATTTTTAATTGCAATTCTTAATATTTCAAGATGGCGTCGAAAACGGTAAACGCCCAATACGTGATGCGTCTTTTCCTTTCCAACTACTCAAAAGGAAGGGGAACGCCGCCATTGTTGTACATTGACTGCGTCGTAATTTTCTGCTCAATAATTCTGTGTTATTTTCGGTGTAAAAGTTATTAGAGTTCTATAAAAAAGGATATTTTTCAAAAATTTAATTATTTGTTTTATTATTTTTATGTAAAATTATCGGATGATTCATATTTTTAGTCCTAAAAGTTTTAACGCGGGAAGTACAGGGTCAGTGACAGTGAATTATTATGCATTCTATACATTCTTGTAGATGGCACTAGTCATAAAAGTGAAAAACGTGGTAAAGAGAAAATATGAACTTTTGACGTTTATAAAGCGCGCGAAATTAACTAAACTGTCAAAGTCATCTGTTAGCCCCACGTGTTTACAGTTTATTGGACCTTTACACCTAACATTCAATAATTTTCTATAACTCAAAGCGTTCATGAGTATTAGTATACATAGTATAAATTTTTATTGTTTCAAATCTTCGATGAATGAATATTTATCAAAATTCAAAGTAAATAATAACCGTTTTATTTGGCCATAATTTTTTTGATTTAATAATAGTTATCGGTAATATTGCTGTGATTATTTTTAAAGAAATAATTTTATTTTACAGAACCACTTGGCGGTGATAGTGGTTTCACCGAATTAAGTGACGGTTCTAAATCTATGTCTACCACCCCTGACCTGATGCATCTATCATCAACTCCGTCTCGTACAGATTCAACTAGTGATGATACTGGATGCCCGTATGTAGAAATACTTTTGATTTTCGAAAGATAAATTATTTATCTAAAAGTCTAAAAAATATTTGTCAATTTTTTTTAGACTTGATACAGCAGATGAAAAAGACGAAGTTTCATCAACAGTTTCCAACTTATCTGATTTATCAGGATTATCTGAACTTTCCGAAGACTCTGGTCATTTATGGCGAAACGCATCCTCTTGGGTGCAGAAGCAGATGTTGACTGGTGCTAATCCTCGGGAACTTCTTCAAAATTTACTCATGGATCCAACTCAGATTCCAGAACAGGTGGATGACATTACTTTATGGAAGCTTGTTCTTAACATCATGTCAGATCCACCTAGAAGACAGAAACTTAATCATATTAATACAATAACCGACGTCGTTCGGCTAATTAAAAATAGTAAAAAAATTATTGTCCTCACTGGAGCAGGAGTCAGTGTAAGTTGTGGAATACCAGATTTTCGGAGTAGAGATGGAATATATTCTCGATTAGCTCAAGACTTTCCTGATTTACCGGATCCACAAGCCATGTTTGATATCAACTACTTTGGCCAAGACCCTAGACCATTTTTCAAGTTTGCCCGAGAAATATATCCTGGTCAGTTCAAACCAAGTCCATGTCATCGATTTATTAAAATGTTAGAAAAACAAAAAAAGTTATTGAGGAATTACTCACAAAATATTGATACATTAGAACAAGTAGCTGGGATAGAAAATGTTATTGAATGTCACGGATCTTTTGCCACAGCTTCGTGTACTAATTGCAAGTTTCAAGTAACTGCAGAAGATATTCGAGAAGATATTTTTGCACAAAGAATACCTTTATGTCCTAAATGTTTCATCGATTTATCACCATCATTAGCTAGTATGAACAGTAATGACAATTTTTCGGAATTAGTTTCTCAAGGTATAATGAAGCCAGATATTGTTTTCTTTGGTGAAGGTTTACCAGATGCGTTCCACGATGCAATTGCAAAGGATAAAGATGAGTGTGATTTATTAATAGTAATTGGATCTTCATTAAAAGTTCGACCAGTAGCACTCATTCCATCCTCCATTCCATCACACGTTCCACAGATTCTTATCAATAGAGAATCTTTACCACATTTGAATTTCGATGTTGAATTTTTGGGAGATGGCGATATTATAATCAACCAATTATGCCATTTAATCAGTGGTGAATTTAAAGAAGTTTGTTGGAAAAGAGAAATTTTAGAAGAAGCTCCACACCTTTTACCTCCTCGATTTACCTCTGATGACTCTTGGGAACAAAGTCAAGACACAACGGTGACTCCAGATCTATCACAGGATAGTACTGAAGTTGTCCTCAAGTCATACCACAATGTATCATCAGAGAGTCAAGACAGCTTAATGATAAATTCAAATACCACACCTAAGAGATTAGAGAACACCGATATTTGTATATCACCATTCCATGCAGGCCATATGGAGACTGCCGAAGCAAGTTTTTCGTTATTGGGAGAAAGCCCTAAGAGGCCGTTAGATGAATCTAGTAGTGAAAGTAGTCCGAAAAGGATTCAATTAGGAATGAGAACGTTACCAACATCATCTGGATCAACTCCCAGATCGTCGGATGATTCAGATGATATTACATATTCATCGTCACGATACAGTCGAGTTATTTCTGTTGAATCAACTTCAGAAAATAATGGTCATGTGTATAATCTTGAAGAGTGTCATGTTGTACCAAGAACCATTGACGATTCGCAAAAGGATTCGTTAATGTACTCTCAAGTGGAATTAAATCGATCAACTGATTCCACAAGTAGAGGTGATGCTGATTCTTTGAGCGATGCAGGAGATTTAGTAGATTCAGACAAATCGAGTGGTAAATCTCGACACGTGTCTATTGACTCTGCCATTGATTCGGGAATTGGTGATAGTTGTAATAGTGTTGATAGTTCTGAAGATAAAGGTCCATTGGGACACGAGGAATCTAAAAGACATGATTTAGAAAGACATTGTTGGCAGTCTGAAATCAAAGAGAGTCTAGCAAGCAGATTACCTGAAAATTCATATTATCAAGTTGCTCCCGGTAAATACATATTCCCAGGTGCAGAAATTTATTTCGATTCAGATGATTATGACTGTTCTTCATCATCAAGATCTCCTACGGTAATTTTAATTTTTATTCTTTATCATGATTCAAATTAATATCAAAATATAACTAATTTATAAATATTTTTTATATTTTAGGCATCAACAATAGTGTATGGAGAACTCGATTGTCGGTCGACATAGAACATTGATGATGAAAGTTTATGAAAACCAACTTTCATTTTCAAAGTATAATATAGATAGTAGATTATTCGTCAACTTAAAAATTGACAACGTAACAATAGTTACAAACTTGTGCAATTAAATCTGTATGAAACTCGTGAAAAGGTAATACAGATTCAACCCTCTTATTAAATGGACATAAAAGACAGAGTCAGGAAGACATTAACTAACAGCTGTAGAACTGCTATAATTCGTTCAATGTTCGATTTATTTCGTCATTGGTAAGTTAAATTATCTACGTAACTTTTAGGTATTATATGCGAGTTAATTCTATCCTCAGCTGCATATTTGGTTTTAAACGTGATAGTGGGCAATTTTATGAGAAAATTTTTTATTTTTCATTTTATGTGTCGTCTTCCAATGAAAGGATTAAATGATTAAGTATATACCATTTCACATAGTTTCTATTTAAAAATAATTGGAATATCTGAATGGAAACATCAGGAGCTAGGCTAATAAAAATTTAAAAAAATAGAATATAGAATCAATTTATCATGAAATATATACAAAATGAGTGATGAATCGAAAAATTCTGCTATGATCGCTGACTATTTCTTTGTCCATCTTCTTGTATATAAAACTTTTGTAATAAGTCTTTATTTGATTATTCATAAGTATACATTGTAAGAGAAAAATAATTTTTACGAAAACTTTAGTTGATGGGGTGTAAATAATGACAGATGATAAAAATATCTGTTGAGGCGTTTGATCGGTTGAGATAGGATGATTTTTTTAAAGATTTCATATACCAAAAGTATATGTTAAAATTATCATATGACCAGTAGGATGATTATTATAAATTAAATTTATAGAATAATAGGCTATTTAATATTTTATTTATATTGTGTGAATCAAAAATGGAATTATTTAATAGAATATAAATTATATTTATTACCAACAAGAAATATATTAATTTGCGTGAATTTTGATCTTAAAATATTTGATGTTCTATGGTTCTTTTCAATGTCAATTATTTTAAGTATAAACGAAAATTATTACAAGTGATTATCTAAAATTGAATTAATTGAAAAATTATTGTGTTTTGACAATCTTAGTGATATATATAAATATATAAATGTTTTGAGAAAATTAGTTTTATAAATTAAGATGTAAAAAATGTTAGTTTCACAACTTAAAAAAAGAATTAATTTTTAATTTAGAGAAATCGATACACAATCGATCTTCCGCCTTCATTCGATCTCAATTTCATTTAAATAAAGAATAGAAAGGGAAAAATATTAACATTTTAAGTTTAAAGGGATACTTAATATCTAAAGAAATAAGAATCATATTTATTTAATGTATTCATTAAAATTATTTGAAAAAGGAAAATTGGAACATTTTGAATTATCAATATTTTAAGAATCACAAAAAATTTTCAGCAATAATTTTTCTATGCAGATATACAATTGAGCTTGAAACACAATAAGACAAAAAATAATAGAGCAACTTTATTCATAATTAATTGGTTTTTAATTATCTGGTTTTATTGGAGCACAGGCAAATGTACAAAGCAATGCCGGATAGCTTCGCATTGCGTGTTATTTTTATATGACGGAAAGGTAGTAGATTTAAGCAGTGGTGTGAAAGATAATAAGAAAACCGTACTATTAAAAAATGAAAAAAACAGATATGTAATGTATAAATTATTATATAAGTGCATAACAACTGAAAATTGTAGAATAAGTTATTCGACTTTTCAACACTGCAATTTTTTCGTATGAAAAAAAAAATAAGGTTGTGTGAATGTTTATTAAAAATAAACAATCTAATATAATAGTTTAATTAAAATAAATTAAATAATTATAAAAATAAAAATATGTATTCAAAAGAGAAACTTAGAAAATGAAAAAGATTCGAACGAGAGCGCGATATTACTAGAAATAGTAATTAAATAGGTATAAAATTATATAGATTTATTTGTAGTTCGCACGAAGTTTACTAGCTTTGATGCCCAAACTGAATAATTAAATTAATTTAATGTCATCATTAATTATCCCATTTCTACTGTCATAAACTTAAACAACTGCAATCAAACAGGTGCATATGTAAATTAATTAATTTATAATATGTCAAGTAAATTCAAATGTTTTATGTTAATAGAAAATAGATAGTTTTTGCTTTGTACAAAGAGGCACTTATTTATATTTGTTACAAAGATAATAGCAGGAGTAATACAATAATTTTGAATCATGGAATTATTCAACCGTGAGAAAGAAAAAAGTATGAAAAAAGTTGGTTTGATGATATATGTTTTATGAAATTTTTACCGTTCCAACTTTGAAAATTTTAGCATTTAATATTTCATAAATTAATATCAGGCTCATATTAATTGAGACTGAAATTAAAATATCTATCTAATTTCCAAAAAGATAAAAGACTTTTGGCTTATGTTTACCAACTTTTTTTGACAGTACTGAATTTTTTAAAATTAGAATCTATTGTACGTATATATTTATTATTTTTATTGTATAGAAAACTATAGATTTTGTCAAAATAGCTTGATAATGAAACGTTACTTCCATATTTAGTCATATGTTCGAACTTTACTGTTAATTACAGACGTTTCGATACTAAGCTAAAATGACAAAATTTACTTTAATAGTTTCGGATTTTTTATAATTTGTTATTTAATGTAATGAGTAGCATAAATATTTACTTCTCATTCTAAATGTTGTAAGGATTTTTTTTCTTCCGGTATTACTAACACATAAGCCTACAACGTAAATTAAAGTACTGTATCAATTAAAAACAGCATCAGTTTATTTATTTCGTTTTACCTGTGATTAATAAATATTTATCTTCATTATATTTTCATTAATTTTACAATTATTTTTTGTACCAATAAGAGTGTGATTAATAGTTACAGATTAATTTTTATCTCCAATATTGGCCTATAAATGTAACAATTTAGAAGATAATCATGTTTTTAATATTTTAATTCTATCACCTACTGTATCTAGTAAATTTAATTTAGTATTGAATGTATTTTTCATCCTTCATGAAGATACAGAAAGTATACATAACATATGTACATTTAACATGACAAATTTTTTTTATTGAGAAATATTTTTTTCTTTATAATAGACTAATATTTAATTACCTATATAAATATAATTGCACATTATTTTGTACTTAATATATTAGTTAAATCTGTTATATTACATGAATAAACTAAGAAACAAATATTTATCGTGAAAATGTGTGCTGTATATGGTGACGATAAATCTGTATATTTTCAACAGCAATAAAGAATAATATTAAATTAATCCATAATTAGTTATTATTTTAGAATAGTAAAATTTTTTTTAGTTACTCGTATTCTCTATTGTTTTCATCAATTTCAAATGTTCTAAAAAATCGCGCCAATTTTTAATAACTCTATGAGTCAAGTGAACATCCATTTTGCATCATCCTAGTCTAAATGAAAGTTATATAGATGAAATGTTGAAATAACCTCTCCTTTAATAAATTTATGTTTCTAATCACTTAAATAACAAATGAAAGAGAAATGTCAGTGTAGTAAGGTATTGTAACTAACGTTGACTCCAAGTTTCATGAGATTTGATTGGTCGATTGGTGGCTTGTCAGCATGTCATATAAACTGTGCTTCGAGCGCTTTCTCACTTCAGAGAATCTTAGACTCCGATTGTATTGAAAGATTTGTTGCTGCAGTATTAGACTGTTGACAGACGTGTATTCAAGTGTCAAAATCATGTGTGGTGAGTAACTTTATTATTGTAGTAATTATTAACATTCATTGATTAGAGAAGTTTATGAGTATTTTTTATTAAGAACAAATGCAATACGGAAATAAGTGACACGTATTCTTCCGGGTTTTATACTCAAACATACCAATAACATCCAGTCAACAATATTTCGGTGACTTTTTTTGTTTACTGTTATTTTATTACGCATTGTTTTTATTCAGAAAATTTTGATTCTCTATACACATATATACATTTTTTGTTTCAATACTTTTCTATTCAATTGTCTATGAAAAATATGATAAATTAATAAAAATATTGAGCAATTCTTTGATAGAGAAAGGAAATAAATAAAAAAGAAATTTTTTTTCTATCATATGTAAAATGCTAACAATCCCGGGCAATGACCTATGTCAACCTACTCCTTATACCTTCGAGAGTTTGGAGTATTGCGAAACATTCTTCTCCATAGAGTGAAAGTTCCCTCGTTTTGTATGCAGACAAGAGTTGATCAGTCGTACTCGATATTTAATACTGATGCAAGATTAATCAAACAAAAAAATATCACGTTGCCGTCTGACATTTACTTCTTCCGTATCTTGTAAATACAATTTGAACACACGTGTATTCATTACTCAATAGACGATTGGAATGTTACGATATATTATCTACATAACAAACGATTGTTATAAATAAATAAGTTAAATAAAATTAAATTTATTCAAAATGATGTGGAAGCAACATAATACTTATATATTTTTTCTATTTATGTTAACCAGAGATGTTTAGAAATGATGAAAAAACTTTCCAAAAAATATAAAAGTGAAACAACCTTCAAAATTTCTCTATAATTTTATAGTTATTATAAAGTATATTACATTACAAATTTATGTTAAAGAAGTTTTCAATTATCTTTTCAAAATATATTTCTTTAAACTAAACTATGAAAAGGTTGTTTTAGTTCGATCATTTTTTGAGGCAAATAAGTTTCAATTTTTTGTACAAAACTTAATTATTAATGGAAAATTGTTTATCGCAATGATAATCTTATTTCCAGGAAAGATAAAAGTTGACAGTTTAAAAAATTACATATTTTTCTTTATCATCAAAACTTGATAAACCTATAAAGGATTAAAATAAAGATAATTTTGGATGCATTAAAAAGTTTGTTTTTAATGAAATAGAGATGTATGAGTTACCAAATGAGTTTTGACTCTCAAACTCTAAACTTGTATTTTAAAAAGTATTTAAATAAACCCAATGCAATGAATATCATTCATACATAAAATTAAAATATTTTTAACAACAAGAAATATACAAACAATTGTTAAAGTTGACAATCTAGTTTGATCAGATTTCTGTGTTAAGTTTATATTCAATTCTATCCCGATTGAAGCTGATATCTTTCCTCTCATTGTCATGATTCTAGCAGCATATGTTGATCAAATAAATTCTATTAAGAAAGTCGTATATCGAATTCTTGATAAAAAATTACGTTGATAAAATGTGATGAAGTATCTGTTATACATGTTTATGTACACTAAACTCACCTTGTGGAGGTAATAAAAAAAGTGATATCGAAAGCCTTTCAAATGTAATCAAGGTGCAGTAACGGTAGTGAACTTTATTAATCTCGAGGTTATTTCAACAAAAGAATAAAAGGAAAATAGCTTTTTTTATTTTCACTAACTTAGCGCTCTTTTTTTCAGGAATCTTTGCTTATTTGAATTACCTGACTCCAAAAACGAGGGAGGAAATCCTGAAACTGCTTGTGGGTGGATTAAAGAGGCTCGAATACCGAGGATATGATTCAGCTGGTAACGTTTATTTAATTGAATATTTTCTTGGTGATTTTGTATATTGTAAAAAATTACTGGAGAAGAGAAAGGATACGGATGTCTACTTTGTATCATTCTCAAGGTGAAATTATGGAAACAAGTTAGGAAAGGATATAAGTGGTATTCTTAGTTTGGAGAAATTTATGTTCCATGTTTACGATCAAGGAATGCATTCAAAAAAGGATGCATCTACATTTTAATGTGCCCAGAATATTATCTTTTCACTACAACATTTAAGCTTAAAAATTTTTTATCCTATAAGCTAAATATACTCTTTCTATTTTTCTTTCGTTTAATTATGTTGATAATTAATGACTCTACTTTTCAGTTTTCAAAATAATCTTATTAACTTCTTTCAGGTGTGGCGCTTGATGAACCCAATGGCCATGACATTGCCGTCATAAAAAAACAAGGGAAAGTTCAAGCTCTTGAAGATGAAATTTTTCAACGTAATATTTTTTTTTCATTTTCACCGATTAAATTTTAATTTCATTAAGTTATTAACAGATTAAATTTCTTTTAGGACCTAATCTTGAATTTGATAGTAAAACTGAGAGCCATGTGGGTATTGCTCATACTCGTTGGGCAACTCACGGAGTTCCCTCGGAGGTAAATTCTCATCCTCAAAGATCTGATGTAGATCATGGTTTTCTTGTAGTTCACAACGGTAAGCCTTACTAATAAGAAAATGTTATAATAACCTTGAAATAACTGATAATGGTTGAACTTGAGATATTTTTTACTAATAATTATCAAATGAAGTGGTTTGAAATCTAATCTATAATCCTTGCGGGGATTTTTGAATGCTTCTAGGTATTGTGACTAACTATAAAGAAGTTAAAACTCTACTTCAGCAGAGAGGATATGTTTTTGAGAGTGAAACTGACACCGAAGTTATTGCAAAGTTAATTCATCATCTTTGGATGCAACATCCTTCATATTCATTCCGTGAGCTCGTTGAACAAGTTATCCAACAGTTGGTGCGTATTATTTTAATTCTACAGTTTACATGGTATACCACATCTAGAATACCTGAACCATAAAATATTCTCTCTTCCAGGAAGGTGCTTTTGCTCTTTGTTTTAAAAGTAAATATTTTCCTGGTGAATGTGTAGCAACGAGGAGAGGATCACCTCTTTTAGTTGGAATCAAAACCAAAACTCGATTGATTACTGACCATGTGCCAATTCTTTATGGAAAAGGTAATCTCAAAATATTTTTACAGATAAAGTAAGTAAAACATTAGAAACTGGGAAAGAAGGTAAAAAAGTTCAGTAAATATTTAACTTTTTTTAAACTTTTATTAAACTCTGATTTATTGAAAGAACTTGGATTATTTTTAACACAAGGGAGTAAAATGTTCCAATAATAAAATATATGAAATAACACTCGGTTTTTATTAACAGTGGTTGAGGTCTATAAATTGAAAAAAGGTGTGTCAATTTAAAATAACTAAATATTTTATTTATTAACCTTTCCATTTATCTATTAATCTTATCTTAATTAATATCGCATGAATAATTACTTTCTATAATAAAATTAGAAATCCTTACAGGCCTTAAGAGTATTTAATATTCCAAAGTAGAAGAGATTAAATTATTTAGTTTGAATATTTAATTGATTTTTATGTGAATTATTAATATTTATTATTAAAAATAGTAGTTAGATTATTAATATGCATGTTTTTTTTTTCAACTATGTTGAGTTTATCTTTCGAGATTATAAAGTAAAAAATGTTTTTATTGAATCAATATCGATTTTATTTGAGTGTTTCTTTTGCATGATCTTCTGGCTCTTTCTCCGGTTCTACGTTAAAGCAGATGATCTACCAAGAGTGTCTAAAGGTATACACTCCTTTCATGGCTCACCTTTTTTTTCTTTTGTCATGAGAACTTTACAAAATTCAACATGAAAATGAATATCATTTAAAAGATATCCAGGACTTTTGTGTATTAACAGCACTTTTTGTATTATGTGAAGTTCAAATGACAATGACAAAATTTTTTTAAATGTTTTATTATCTTCTTTACTTTGGTAAAATTCATGGCCTTATGATTTATATGACGATGTTGTTTATTTATGTTTGTTACACTTTTGCTTTCAGCACTTTTTTTATTTAGCTTTAGCAAATTGGCTCATTAAAAATTATATTATAAAAATTTATGATAAATTATTTATTAATAATATTCCATTATTATTATCAGTCATATTAAAGTATTTGTCAGTTAATTTATAAATAGAATTAATTTTTCAACATTTATTAATTTCATTTTTTTTTCTTTTTTTTACCGTTTTTTTGATGACCTTTTGAAACGTCAAAGAGGGTGAAGCAACAACCACAGGTATTGTTTCTTGTTAAAATTGTCTCACAGTCTTGGTGATGGAAATTTTGTTATAATTGTGGCTTATTGTTTTGTCATTTTATCATATAGCTACTAAGTGCGTTCTTTTATCAGCGACCGATTTTTAAGAGAGGTGATGGTTGAAGTTATTTTTAATACAACTTTACATAATAACTAACCCTCCATTATATAGACAAAAACATCAAGGGCTGCTGAAGTTGACTGGCATACTTGAATCTTTTAAAACCTTTTATGATTTTTTTTCTATTAGTTCTCAGGTAATTAAATTATAAATCAATTTTTCACATATTCCTGATGTGTCTGTGCATTTAAATACCATGATTTATGCCGTAGAGAGCTAAGAAATTACCAATTTTAATATTTATTAATTGAAATAATTATAAACTAGTTAAAGTTGCTAAATTAGATTTTACTAAAATATACTTATTTACCATAGTAATGGTAACATGTACATAAATAATAATAATAATTTTATAACAGCCAAATTCTCATAAATTTGACTAGAAATGAAATTATTAAAATAATAATATTATTAATGCATATAACAATAAATTATAAATTTGACTGAAAAAAATTTTTTAATAAAAGTTTATAAGTAAACATGTATTTTATCAGATCATAGACCTCATGGACGAGGTACAGATGTGCCCGTGATTCCACGTAGTGACAGCACGGCTGAATTCCAACCTTTGATAGAAAAAGAAGTTGAGTACTTTTTTGCATCAGATGCAAGTGCTGTGATCGAGCATACTGATCGTGTTATCTTTCTTGAAGTGAGTACTTTTTAATTGTACGTCTCAATTACCAATGTTTGATTACTTACATGCAGTATTTCTTTAATGATAGGATGACGACGTAGCAGCTGTAAAACAAGGAACTCTGAGTATTCATCGTCTACGTCGATGCATGGATGATCCTCATGCGCGCGAAATTACAACTCTCAAGATGGAAATTCAACAAATTATGAAGGGAAACTATGAATATTTCATGCAAAAGGAAATCTTTGAACAGCCAGAATCAGTAGTAAATACAATGAGAGGTCGTTTGAATTTCCAGAATAATTCGGTTACTCTTGGTGGAATAACTGTAAGCCACAAGAATTTAATTATATATTTTATTTTTAAGCATTTGTTATTTTTTATTAAATCTGAAATTCACGTTTAACAGGATTACATACCGGAAATAAAAAGATGTCGTCGTCTTATGCTTATTGGCTGTGGTACAAGTTATCATTCCGCCATCGCAACCAGACAGTTGCTGGAGGAATTAACTGAATTACCTGTCATGGTAGAGTTAGCATCGGACTTTTTAGACAGAAATACTCCAGTTTTTCGTGATGATGTTTGCTTCTTCATATCACAATCTGGTGAAACTGCAGATACTCTCATGGCACTTCGATATTGCAAGGGACGTGGAGCGTTAATTGTTGGTATTACAAACACTGTTGGTAGTAGTATTTGCCGTGAGTCTCATTGTGGCGTTCACATTAATGCGGGTCCAGAAATTGGTGTTGCTAGCACAAAAGCTTATACATCGCAATTTATTTCTCTTGTTATGTTTGCACTTGTGATGAGTGAGGACAGAATTTCATTACGTCCTCGACGTCTAGAGGTAATTGATTGATATATTTATTTTAATAAAATAATGTCAGCTTTAATGCATTTAAATTTAATTATTTATTAATTTTTTAGATTATTGAAGGTTTGAAAAATCTGGATAATCAAATTCGTGAAGTATTGAAATTGGATAATAAAGTAAAAGAACTAGCAAAATCATTATATCAATATAAGTCTCTTCTTATTATGGGTAGAGGATACAATTTTGCTACATGTATGGAAGGTGCTTTGGTAAGCATTCATGCATTTTTTTAATTTCGTTTATGTTATTGTTATTAATATTAACATTGTGTTATATTTACAGAAAGTAAAGGAGTTAACCTACATGCATAGTGAGGGTATTATGGCTGGTGAACTCAAACATGGACCATTAGCTTTGGTAGATGACTCGATGCCAATTATAATGATTGTTATGAGAGATCCTGTTTATATTGTAAGTTGAAACAAATGTTATACTTTTATTATTATTATTTTTTACTTTTTACAATGAAAATATAAATATAATTTGAAATCATTTTATTATTTAGAAATGTATGAATGCACTCCAACAAGTGACAGCTCGTGGTGGTAAACCAATTGTCATTTGTGAAGATGGTGACAATGAAACAAAATCATTTGCATCACGAGCTCTCGAAGTGCCCAAAACTGTTGACTGTCTTCAGGGTATCTTGACTGTCATTCCAATGCAATTATTGTCGTTCCATATTGCTGTACTTCGTGGCTGTAACGTTGATTGCCCACGAAACCTCGCCAAGTCTGTCACAGTAGAGTAATTACGCTGCTAACTCACAGAGTCAATGGAAAAATTTATATGTTCGATGTACATATATGTACATAATGGTAAATCAAAGTCAATTTGAAAGACCTTGACTGAGACATAAAGTTCATATTATTTGCAATACTGAAAAATGCAGCTCATGCTACGAAAGAAAACCTATTGATAACAGCATCTGTTGACGTAATGCAAAAGAAAAATTTAAAATAATGTCTATGACTGTATACAAGAGTCGAGTTAATTTTGACTACGATAGAAATATTTTTATCGATTCTTTTTTTTTATATAAACAACAGAATTATATACAATGACCATCTATTAAGATGATATAAAATTTATATTATAAAAAACGTTCCTTGAATGATAAACCATTTTTCTTATAATATAAATAACTGATACATTTCACTTTGCATTTAAATCTTGTATGGGAAACAAAAAACATCAAATATTTTCAATCAATTCGTCATCTAGAGATAATTTGTGATCGCACTTATGTATGAAGAATACACATTAGAATTATCCGAAATTACATTCGTAAGATAAATGAAATTATTTTATTTTTATATTAAATACATTTGAATAGTAAAAATCCTATAATTAATCTTGACTAAATTGATTGAAGAATTAGATGAATTTTTGATAATATAAGGGAAGATATAAAATTGGATTTTAGTTAAATACTGATATATTTTAATTTCAAGTTATATTATAATGAATATTTTATTTTTGCTTAAATTTTATAGTTATACTTTTCTTTGTTGCTCTTATTGTTTGATGTCAGCTAATGAAATAGTTGTAAATAAAAAAAATTATGAGTAATAAACATGAATGAATATAAACATAAATTATAAATTCTAAACATCCATTATATTCATTTTATACAATACAGCTAGGATAGCATATATGAATATTCATATGTGCTAATAATTTGAGGAAAATTGAAATTTTTTCTCAAAATCTATAAAGTAATTGAACTTGATGTTAATAAGTAATGAAAATGTGACTGTAGTGTTGGATCGATGGGGGCGAATAATGTGTTAAGTAGTAAAGTCGGGATATTGGTCAGGCGGCCAAAGACATGCGCAGTATAGTAAAGTGTTGGGGTGGTCATGAGCTTGCGCGATCGTGAACTAGTCGTTAGCAACGGTGAGTAGAGTAAACGTGGAAGAAAGTGAGTGTGCGCGTATTCGTATGATAAGAAATAAGAGAGGGAAAGAAAGAACTAGGGGCATAGATAAGTTGAGATCGACCGTATAAAGCTCGAGTAGACTTTGAACTGTGAGAACATAATATTGAGAAATTTTGAAATCAAACGCGCTTAATAGTTTGACTGAGTAAAGAATAGAAGATACGATAAGGGTGTCATTAAGAAACAAATATGAAGTAAAAACGTAAATAATCTTCGGATTAAAATCGTGGACGTTTGCTGATGGCTACGAAATCAGACGGTAGCAAAGCGAAGAAGCAGCAGCAATTCGGTCGCTTTGCGCTTGGCATCTAAAATTAAACACTCGAAAACGACAAGGAAAAACGGCAGTGTCGTTCACAGCAGAGTGTCAGCCGTTGGAAGAAGCAGCAGGGATCCCCTCGGGTTATACAGCGGAGGTTGGCTGCGCGCGTTCGGTCAACAGCGCAGTGACTACTACGCGAGTCAGTCGACAATCTGCCGTCAAACAGAGCGGACGGCTAAACATTGCGCGTATAATATCATTTGGCGTGCCACAAATATTCGTTGGCACGACGGTGATTTGACCCTACGGTGGGGTAAACAGACTAACTAAGCAGTCACGGTGATAGAACGAGTAAGCGGTCTCCGTCTATCGGCACGGACGGATTATCGATCGGATTTGACCCGGCTGAACTGTTTTCCCTAGCGTAGTGACTGCTAGCTTTTTTAGTTGTGTGTTAAATATCAGTGATTATTAATCGGTATGGCTGCCCCAGCAGCTTGCACGCGGTTCAGTGACAACTACGATCTCAAGGAGGAACTCGGCAAGTAAGTAAACACATAAATAATTTTTCGAATTTAAAGACGAGTATGAAGAGTTCAGTCAGCATAAATGTTAATCTTACAACCGCGTGTACTGTGCTCCGATCCCACTACATCAAAGATCCCCTCCACTTTATCTTTCGTCACTGCTGTCTGTTTAACTACTCGTCGTTACTATACTACTGCTTTCTTCCCGCGATTCTCAGCCCTCTTTTTCTTCTTCTCTTACACCCATCACTTCTTACTCATATAACTGTCAACCTTCTGCACTCGTTATTTCTGACCACAACAAGACAATTTCTTTTACAAATACCTACATCAAAGAAAAAACTTTGATGTTTTATTCCTTTTATTTGCATAGAGCATACCTTTAAATAAATAAACCGATAGAGAATAGACACATTAATTGTCGGCCATGACTGTAACAGCATCGTAGTGTTGGCTGCAGTGCCGCTCGCGACACCGGTGTCAACTTTTATTGAAGATGTTGATGATCAAAAGGTCAACAAACTGACACTCATTCTGCCTGATTCGTTCTTATTAGTGTACTCCAATTCTTTCACTTATGATACACTTACTTTACTTATCGCTTGTTTATGTGATTCGTAGTATTCATGATTCTCTTGTATCCACTTGATCTTTTATGTTCTTTTGCGTTAGTACAAATGCAATCAAAGATTAATAGCACCCGTAGCAACTTTAAGTCCATCAAAGTGCTTCTTTTTCATCAATGTCGCATCATCATCTCTTATATTGTTCATTGAATCGATACGCCGGCTTTTGATAAGCAGCTCGCGCCACAACCGACGGCAGGTGGTTGTAGTATGTCAGTAGAAAAAACGAATAAAAGAGAAACATTCAAGTTATAATAAGTTTGAGTAGGAAATAAAAGAAGAAAAATAAAATTCAACCAATCGATCATCATTTCTACTTTTACACTTATTTCCTCAGACGTCCTTATATTTATGTAGATTCTTCTATTCAATATATCGTCTACAAACGGAACGAGCACTTTGTTTCAGGGTACTTTCCACTTGGATGATTTAAAAACTCGATAACCAATTCTTTTTGCTGAAGAAAAAGATATTTGTCATATAGTTTCATTATTTTATAACCAAATGTAGATTCTAATTTACAGTTGTCTGTAGGTGAAATTCTGTTTCCGATTTCAGATTGATTGATGAATGTTTTGATACTATGACAGCATAAATTATTCTACAATATATTCAATTTATCATATTTGAAAGTATGTGACAGAATGTATAAATTCTTGCATAACTTTGAGTAATTGACTACACTCAGTTGTATTTTTATTTTAACTATACGATAATACAAATTTCTCAATTGTGATAATGTTTCAAACATTGACAAGTTGAAAATAACAGAAAATTATTATAATGATAAAGATAAGAAAAAATATTAAATAAAAATTGTCAACTTTGTTTGAATAATTCAATGACACACAGTAAATATTATTTTCCAGTTAAATAAATTTTTTAACAATGCTTATGAGTAACCTTGTCTGCTTTATTATAAGTAAACGTATTTGTTTATCATCACAGGTAATATGATGGTTATGCTATGGAAAAAAATGAGCTCAAAGTTTGTAATGAAATAAGCAAACAAAGCCAAGAAAATTGGTTTGAGAGAGAAAAAAATGGTTTTCAATTACTCATAATTTATTTTTATTTTCCATTCGTGCTTCCAAAAGATAAATAGGTCAAACTATCCACTATAGATAGGGCGTTAAAATTATTATGACGTATTCAAACAAATTGTGGACTCGTGCTGTGATTTGTACTCAAAAGAGATTCAGTTAAATAGCTTTTTGCTTTAGAGCAAAAAGTATGGAGGAAGAGTAAATACGTTTAGTATATTCTAATCAGTTATTCAATTGGAATTCAAACAATAAGTTCATAATATCAATTGATTATGTACATGATACAATTAATATTTATGAATTTTTTCAATCTAAAAGTTGATATTCTCAAATAAAACATGTGTATGACATAGAAGAAAAATCAACACAAATGTTTGACCAGTTTTTCATATTTCTGAGTGACAGCATTTGTATATTCACTTGTTTCTCTCTTTGGCGTCGGTATTTCAAAGCAGAAATTGAGCGTAACACGTGTGTGACGTGTGAATTGAATTAAAAACAATATTCTGGTTATTATGGCACGTTCACGTTATTTAAAATTTCAAAGGAGAATTCAGTCATTAAACCGTTTATTTTTATTTGTTTTTACCAATATGTACAGTCATGTCGTTATTATTTTTCAACCTGTTTTATTTAAAAAAATATTCATATGAATATCAGTTATTCAAATAATTTTACTTCATAAAAAATGAATAATTTAAAATTATTCTCTATTGACAATTTATTAATAAATAATATTTAATACTCCATCTAGCTGCCAAACATTAATGAATATTTTTAACGGTAAACTTTTCATTACAAATTTACTAGATCTACATGAAAAAAATTAATGTACAATGTAATAACTGTATAATTAAAAAAATTATTCATAAAAAATAAATATTTTTAGTGTTAATAATTGATGAGAAAAAGCTTTAAATGTTAATTTTCTTGGTAAAAAATTAATTTATCAGGTTTCTATGCCACCTTTAATATGTAGGTTAATCTATAAATATTAAAGTAATAAAAACACATTTTTTCTGAAGAAGCTCTGTTAAAGACAAATTAGAAATACTTCTGGGGATAATTTTATATCGATCATATCATAGACAACATGTGTTTGATAACTTAACACGAAACTCACGCGTCACACGCTGTGAACGATAGATTGACGGAGAACAGCATCAACGTATTTATAATTCAACAAACTCGTCCCTTCCAATACTCTATTCTATCGAGCGCTATATGTTGGCAATAATCTCGAGGGAAATATTCATATTACTGACTTCTAACATTGTATAGCATGGTGATAGCTTAAAATTACCATTGGCTTATAATTATCATATTCTCTAGTTAAATTATCTAAATCAATACCGTATAATGATGTACTTTGATGCAAGTTTTATTTTTTGTTTGATTTAAAAACGATACAGCATCAGTAGTATTTCGTGCTCGACAGCTAAGTTTTCTGAACACAAGATAACGTGATGTCTGGCAAGGTTTTGATAAAATTTTTCTTTTTAGAATCAAACTAAATCAACTGATCCTGATAGGTAAACAGAAGATTTCTGACTAGTTTACAGCCAAAGTCTTAAGATGATCTCTACTCAAGTTACTCATAGCACATTCAAATCATCACCCTATCAATATGATCCTGTTGATAGCATTCTCCAATATCAAAATAGCTAAATATATTCAGTAGGATGTCTAAACCACATAAATAATAATATAGAATTAATAGAGAATAATATTTAAATGGATGAGTGATGTTGTGTGTATAGGTAATAAATAGTTGAATAGATAAGACTACATATGATCACTGCTTTCTAGTCACGAAACCTTTTTAACAGAGGTCTTTAATGAGCCTGTTGGCAACATATTTTTAAAAAAATACATTATTCAGTTATTGTATATCGCTCATATTTATCAATTAAGGTTATTGATGAAACATTCATCAACAATGATAATAGTATATTATCATGATAATATGTTTATTTATTATTTTTTTTAATCAAACACCAAGACTTCATTTGTATTCCTACATGTGCTTCGTGCATGACATATTTAACAGTTTAATATTACATGAATAAAAAAGAGGCAATGTCTTTGGGTTCGTGACTTGATACAAAAAAAATACTCAAACATATGAATATATATAAATATCGATTATGATTTTAATAAAAACCCATGAATATTTATACACGTGCTATACTAGGGAGATTCGAAGATAATAGTGTTGGAGGGAAACTAAATATGAGTAAATACAGTGAGAATAGGAGCATATAAGTAAATTTTCGTGCAAATAGCTGGTGGTATTTGAATGTTTTAACGAGTAGAGTTGAATTGTAATCAAAGACATAAGGTACTTAAACCTGTTGTACAGGTTCAAGTACTTCATGTAGCAACAAAGGCTCTTCAGGATACTTCTGTCCTGTATATTGGCTCAAGAGGTTAGCGCAAGCGGTTAGTACGGGATGCTCGTTTTTCCACCCACATTTACTCCTTGCATATGTTCTCAAACATTTTTACTTTGTGTAACTTGTTATTACACTTAATTAAATGAATGTATGATTTGCACTAATTTGTTGAATTGTTCATAATGACTAATACTCCAACAGTGTGTAACATAAAACTCGTCTAATGACTGTAATATTTAAATAACTTGAGAGAAGTAAAAAAAAACTTGGAGATCGTAAAAAGGTCTATCATCAAAAGCAGAGAATTTTTTTTAAATTAAGAAGGGTGGAGAAAATTATACTTTTCGTGGTAAATAAAGTAGGCCAGTACTTTTTTTAAATGGTTAATAACAAATTTACAAAAGAATTTATAAAGAATATATTTTTTTTTACTAAGCTCAAGTATGGAATTAATTTTATGACTATTTCATGAGCTTGAAGATTATTATCAAACTTTTTTGCACATTATTTTACTGAAGGAATAGAAAAAGAAGTTGATGATATTACTTAAAATAATTTAATATTACTTATTCGTTAGAAAAAGAACCATTTCGTCTTCAAAACTATAAAATTTATCTTGGAACTTTTTTTAAGTAAGTTATCATTAATGAATGCAAATGTGACCTTTTATTGTCCAGTAGTCTAACGATAGTTTATGAATTTTTTTGTTTCCAACACTATATATAGTTAAAAAAATAGAAAAATGAATATTTTTATCTTTCTTTTACCTAGTCTTTTAGACTTTATTGTTTTAGAGATGATAAAAAATTCATAAAGTTTAATGACAAAGTACTTAACATTTAACGTTTTCGAGATTTTAAAGCATACTATAGTAAGCTTGAAAGCTACAATCAACAAACGGTTATGCTGTTGAGAGACAGCCTCTAGCATATTTCATGATGCTCCTTGCG